GAACTTCTGAGGAAGGGTCACCGGACCTGAAACGTTAACTCTGTTTTCTCCTCCACAGATGCTGCCAGACCTGCTGAGCTTTTCCAGCAACTTTGTTTTTGTTCCTGATTTACAGCATCTGCAGTTCTTTTGGTTTTTAACCAACATTTAATGTTTATTTCTGCATAACATAAGTGTCTAGTATCCTGTAAACATTTTCCATGGTATTACTGCACTGTAAATATCAAAGTTAGTGACTGACCTATTCTAAAAGATGTTTATTTTTGAAATTCACAGCTATGAAGATATTTTAGTGATTATTTATACTGGAGATCAAGATACCACAGATGAAGAAATTCTGAATGGAGCTTATAGACACTTTAATATCAAACTTCTCCAACCTGTTCAGTTCGTTTTCCTTGAAAAACGATATTTTGTTGAAGCTAAGCTTTATCCATATTTCACTCTGCTAGGTCAAAGTCTGGGATCTATTTTCCTTGGATGGGAGGCCCTTATGAAATGTGTTCCAGATATCTTTATAGATTCCATGGGCTATGCTTTCACACTTCCTCTCTTCAAGTATTTGGGAGGCTGCCAAGTTGGCTGCTATGTTCATTACCCTACAATTAGCACAGACATGCTGTCTGTGGTGAGGGACAGGAATCCAAGGTTTAACAATGCAGATTTTATATCGACAAATCCCGTACTGAGCAATCTCAAACTTGTATACTATTACATCTTCGCTTGGATGTATGGATTTGTTGGTTCTTGCAGTGACATTATAATGGTAAATTCCACATGGACTCTGAATCATATCCTTGCTCTTTGGAAAGCTGGTGACCGAACCCATGTTGTCTACCCACCCTGTGATGTACAGACATTCCTGAATATTCCATTAGTGGATGACACTAAAAAGACAGAACATTCCATTGTCTCAATTGGCCAGTTTCGGCCGGAGAAAGACCATCCTCTACAAATCAAAGCCTTCTATCAGTTCCTTCAGATGAAGAGTGCTCAGAAGTCAGCTGTGAAGTTAATATTGATTGGCGGTTGCCGCAATGCAGATGACAAAGTGCGAGTAGCTGCTCTAAAAGAACTGTGCAAAAATTTGGGAGTTATGGAAAATGTTGAGTTTAAGATTAACATTTCATTTGAAGAACTTAAGAAACATCTAGCTGAAGCCGCTATTGGACTGCATACAATGTGGAATGAACATTTTGGTATAGGTGAGAATACTGTACAACTTTAATATTGATTACATATCAGGAATTATTATAGATTGATGTTTTGCTTTTATTTATAGGCTTTTATAGAATCTTGCATGCAAGTCTTGAGAGAAAAAATAGTATAATCTAACTTTGTACTTCAAATGAAATTCTAAATCAACACAATCCTCTGTTTAGTAATTGTAAGTATGAAGCAATTCTTGGAGCAAATTGTATGTACCTCGTGCAAAATCATCATCTTTCCCCTATGATTCATGGCAATTGGCTGTCCTGTTTTCTGCTGCAATTATATTTGGGCTCATTTGGAAATTTTAGAAAGTGATGAATTCCAAAAAACTAATTCAGTCTCTGGATTCTGTTAACAGTTTGAGGTTCCACTAATTAGGAAGGGAGATGTTTAAAATTGGGTGTTTATTCATTCCTTGTGCACCTTTCACTTGTAGGAACAGCAGGTAGGGGAAATGTATTTCAGGTGTGACAGCAAAAATCCTTAAAAATTGGAAGTTATTGCTACAGTTTTGCAAAGCCTGAACAATCCATTCAATGGTAGTAACTAAGAGGGTGAGTGGAGAAGAGAGAAATCATTTGTTATTCTTTCTAAGTTGGGATGTGGAGGAATCGGTGTTGGACTGGGGTGGACAAAGTCGGGAGTCACACGACACCAGGTTATAGTCCAGTAGGTTTATTTGAAATCACAAGCTTTTGAAGCACTGCTCCTTCGTCAGGTGAAGTGACTTCTAAGTCAGAAGGGAGATTGAAACTTCAGTTGGGTGAAGGCAAGAATGAGACTAGTGTTAAATAACGAATGCACATACAACTAGAATTTTAGTTTAGTGTCCAATGACTTATATCAAATGTTGGTGCCTTTTTTGGCTAACTGTCTGAATACAGTCAGGAATCCACTTTTATAAACTCATATTCATTTAGTGGCACAGCATGAGGCTTTTGCACAGAGGAAGCCTAGAACCTTCTTAAACAAAATAGGACTGTCAAGAGTTAATTTGCAGCTTTACTGACACAGTATACGATTGTTTATTCACATTACTATCTCGCAATGAATGGTGTGCTAGGATTACAGAATAATTGTTCAAACCTAGACGAACAATTTAGTTAGATCCCCTGATACATTTAAAAATTGTTTTTTATATTTATGAAATAAATTGATTTTACTTCAATTTTAAATTATTTTAAAATTTGGAATTTAACTATTCTGACCTACAGTTCAAGGTAGTGAATAGTCTGTGATTTACCATGACTATTTAATCATTCTGCACTTTTTCTTACAGGGGTGGTTGAATGCATGGCAGCAGGAACTGTTATTCTGGCCCATAATTCAGGAGGCCCCAAGCTGGACATAGTAGTACCACATAATGGAGTTCAGACGGGTTTCCTAGCAGACAGCGAAGAAAGTTATGCAGATGCTATGAAGAACATTCTATCACTGTCACCTGAAAAGAGACTGGAGATCAGGAAGAACGCTCGACAGTCTGTGAGCAGATTCTCCGACCAGGAGTTTGAAACATCATTTATATCTGCCGTAGAACTATTTTTTTAACGGAAGATAATTTATAATTATTGAACTACGTAAATAAATGTAAACAATTTTCCCTCCCCTTGGACGGAGGGAAGAGGGATACAAGGTATTGTATGCGTTTATTGGTGTATATTTGAAAGATTTATAATGCTGTATTGAACCTCTGTTATAAAAGCTTATAAAGCAAACATGCCTTTTTTTTTAAATTGGGAAAAGAGAAAATAGATTTGAAAAGCTTATACAATCATAGAGTTATACAGCTTGGAAACAAACTATTTGGTCCAACTTGTCCATGACAATCCGATATCCTCAACTGATCTAGTCACATTTGCCAGCATTTGGCCTGCATTATTCTAAGCCCTTGTTATTCATGTACCCATCAGATGCCTTTTAAATGTTGTAATTGTACCCACCTCCACCATTTCCTCTGGCAGCTTGTTCCATACATGCACCACCCTCTGTGTGAATAAGTTGCCCCTCAGGTCCCTTTTGAATCTTTCTTCTCTCACCTTGAACCTATGCCCTCTAGTTTTGGACTCTCCTGGCCTGGGAAAAAGACCTTGGCTATTCATCTTATCCGTGCCTCTATAAAGTCACCACTGATACTCTAGGTAGAATAGCTCCAGTCTATTCATCAACCTCTCCCTGTAGCTCAAACTGTCCAACCCTGGCAATATCCTTGTAAATCTTTTTTGGACCTTTTCAATTTTTAACAGATCTTTCCTATAGCAGGGGGACTAGAAGTAAACACAGTATTCTAAAAGTGGCCTAATCAATGTCCTGTGCAGCCTCAAAATGACTTCCCAACTCCTATACACAATGCATTGACCAATGAAGGCAAACGTGCCAAATGCCTTCGTCACCACCCTGTCTACCTGCAACTCTGCTTTCAAGGAACAATGCACCTGCGCTCCTTGGTCTCTTTGTTCAGCAACACTCCCTAGGACCCTACCATTAAGTGTATAAATCCTGCTTGCATTTCCCCTACCAAAATACAATACTTCACCGTTATCTAAATTAAACTCCACCTGCCACACCTTGGCCCATTGACCCATCTGATCAAGGTCCTGTTATACTGAGATAACTTTATTCACTATTCACTACACCGCCAATTTTGGTATCATCTACAAACTTACTAAGCATACCTCCTATATTACATCTAAATCATTTATATAAATGACAAAAAGTAGTAGACCCAGTACCAATCCTTGCAGCACACCACCTGTCACAGGCCTCCAATCCAAAAAATAACCTTCTACCACCAAGCTGCTCTGTCTCTTACCTTCAAGCCAAATATGTATCTAATTGGCTAGCTCCCCCTAGATTCCATGTGATTTAACCTTGCTAACCAGTCTATCATGTGCAACCTTGATGAATGTCCATATGGACACCTACCGCTCTGCCTTCACTAATCTTTGTCACTTCTTCAAAAAAATGCAAGTTAATGAGACACAATTCCCCACACAAAAAACAGTGCTAACTCTCCCTAATCAGTCCTTGCCTTTCCAAATGCATGCAAATCCTGTTCCTCAGAATCCCCTCTAACAACTTTCCGACCGCTGATGTCAGGCTCTCTGGTCTATAGTTCCCTGGATTTTCCTTACAGCCTTTCTTAAATAATGGCACCACATTACTCAACCTCCAGTCTTCCGGCACCTCACCTGTGGCTATCGATGATACAAATATCTCAGCAAGGGGCCCAGCAATTTCTTCCCTAGCTTCCCACAAATTTCTAGGATACACCTGATCACGTCCTGAGGATTTATCCACGTTTATGCATTTTAAGACATCCAGCACCTCCACTTCTGTAATATGGACACTTTCAAGATATCACTATTTATTTCCCCAGATTCTCTAGCTTCCATATCCTTCTTCACAGTAAATACTGATGTGAAATACTTGTTAATACTTGTTAACAATCTCTCATTGTTCCACACATATTGATCTTTAAGGGCCCCTATTATCTCTCTAGTTACTCTTTTGCCCTTAATGTATGTGTAGAATATTTTTGGATTCTCCTTAACCTTATTTGCCAAAGATATCTCGTTCCCTTTTTGCCCTCCTGATTTCCCTCTTAAGTATACTCTTACTACCCTTATACTCCTCTAGGGATTCACTTGATCTCAGTTGTTTATACCTGACATATGCCATCTTCATTTTCTTGACCCGAGCCTCAATTTCTCCAGTCATCCAGTATTCCCTACACCTCCCAGCCTTGCCTTTCACCCTAACAGGAACATACACTGTCTCTGAATTCTGATTATCTCTTTTAAAGGCCTCCCATTTTCCAACCTTCCCTTTAGCTGTGAATTGCCTCTCCCAATCAACCTTTGAAAGTTCTAGCCTAATACTGTAAAAATGGGTCTTCCTCTAATTTAGAACTTTAACTTTTAGATCAGGTCTATCCTTCTCCATAACTATTTTAAAACTAATATAATTATGATCACTGGCCTCAAAGCGCTCCCTCAGTGACACTTCAGTCACTTGCCCTTCCTTACTTCCCAAGAAAAGGTCAAGTTTTTCTCTCTCTCTCTCTGTAGTAGGTACATCCACATGCAGTATAAGAAAGTTTTCTTGTACACACTTAACAAATTCCTTTCCATCCAAGCCCTTAACACTATGGCAATTGCACTCTTACGTTTGGAAAGTTAAAATCCCCTGCCATAACCACCCTATAACTCTTACAGATGTCAGAGATCTCCTCACCTGTTTGCTTCTCAATTTCCCACTCACTATTAGGGTCCTAATAAGGTGATCATCCCTTTCCTAAATCTCAGTTCCACCAATATAACTTCATTGGACGTTCTCCCAGGAATATCCTCGCAAAGACAGCCATAATGTTATCCTTAACCCAAAACATCACTTCCCCTCCTCTCTTGCCCCCACCCCCCTTGCTATCCTTCCTATAGCATCAATATCCTGGAACATTAGGCTGTCAGTCCTGCCCCCCATCCTGAGCCATGATTCTGTAATAACTATGATTTCCCAGTCCCATGTTCCCAACCATGCCCTAAGTTCATCTCCCTTACCTGTCAAGCCTCTTGCATTGAAATAAATGCATGTAATTTATATATCTCACCTCATTCTCTGCCTTGCTGTTGCCTGTCTTGACTATTTAACTTGCTCCTCTTCTCTACTGTACCAACCTTAGACATCTTTTTTCTCACTGTCACTTTGGGTTTCCCCAAAGCCTCCCGAATAACTCTAGCAAATTTTCCCGACAGATTTTGGTCCCCTTCCAATTCAAGTGCAATTTGTCTTTCTTATACAGGTCACTTCTACCCCAGAAGAGACCTCAATGATCCAAAAATGTGAATCTCTGCCCCTTGGACCAGCTCCTGCCCTATCCTCCTATTTCTATTCTCACTAGCACGTGGCACCAGGAGTAATCCAAGTATTACTACCCTCAAGGACATACTTTTTAACCTCCTGCCTAACTTCCCATATTCTCTGTGCAGAACCTTGTCCCTTTCTCTCCCTGTGTCATTGGTATCAATGAACCTTCTGCTGGTCACTCTCCCCATTGAGAATATTATTAACCCTCTCCGAGACACCAGGGAGACCCTGGCACCAGGGAGGTGACACACAATTCTGATGTCTGACTGTCAGCTGCTGACTAGAAATTCCCCTGTCACAATCGATCCCTTGGAACCTCTCATTACACTCTTTATAGTAGGTCTAGTCTTGCTACCAAAACCTGGCTGTCAGTGCTGTATTCTCCCTGAGAGGCCAACACTCTCAACATTATCCAAAACAGCATACTTTTTTGAGAAGAGGATAGCCACAGGAGACTCCTGCACTACCTGCCTAACTCTCCTACCTTTCCTAGTAGTAACCCATCTATCTGACGGTATCTGCAGTTTTCCTACCTTCCTGAAACTGCCATCCATCACGCCCCCTAGCTCCAGTAAATTCCTCATTGTCTCTAACTGCCACTCTAACCAATTCAATGCAATCCAATAGGATTCACATCCAAACACGCTTCTTGCAGACATAATCTCAAGGTAAATTAAAATTATCCCTAATTTCCCACATCCAACAGGAAGACCACATCACTCTACTAAAAGCCATCTCTGCACCTTAAACAGTCAACAGACCCAAAAAGAATCACAACACACTTTCTCAAAAACTCAGTGTTAGCATAGTCGTACTGCTCAAAAACACTGCTCCAGGATAAGTTAATACCTATCTTTTATATTAAAAATTTAATCAAGAGACAGATGTCAGTAAAACATAAATAATAACCCTCAACCTACTCACTATTATAGATTTACAACAAAAAAGATTAAGATTTGTAAGTCTTAAAATCAAACACTTAGCTGATCAGTGTCTGAAATCACTGATCATTCCCAGCTGCTGTGTATAGTTCCGATATTGAGGTCTCCCAAGGTCAGCTGTGAAACTGCACTGCACTGTTTGCTTTTCTTTGACTGATGTCCAGAGATGCTTGTAATTTCTTATGTTGACTTATGTAGTGATTGGAACCAGGTGGACCTCATTGACTACAAGCTCCTTGACGGGGGTTGTTAACCTGGACCAAACAGGGAAGTCCTGGCTGACCAGTATTAACAGGAGATTTAGAATTTCCTCAGCTCCGAGCTGGCTGGCCACAGTCTGTGTACAGTACACAAGTAAATATAGGGTGATTTGGTGAAGGGATAGCAGCCTCTATGCAGTTATTTCAGTGGCAATGGGAGAAAATAGTATGTGTCTGAAGAACATTCCCTTGCAAAAGTCATCTTGGAGTTGGGGTAAGCATTTCTGGCATCATGCCTTTATTTGGGAAACTTGACTCATTTGATCCTTCTGTCAAAGACTGGGCCCACTATGTGGAAAGAATGTGATATCTTTTCCAGGCAAATGACAAGCATTTGAAAAGCAACCAGTAATCTTTCTGACTGCTTGCGGACCCGCAGCATTTTTGGTTATAAGGGGCTTAACTTTCCCAGAGGCACCAGACACTAAAACCTTCCAAGAGTTGATAGAGTTGGTTAAGGAATATTATGACCCTAAACCTTCACCAATTCTGAGATGCCATCAGTTTTATTTGGCTGTTAGAGAACTAGGGGAATCCATACAAGAATTTTTCACAAGGTTGCGACGACTGGCAGAGGCATGTGATTTTGGGTTAACCCTGAATGTTATACTGGGAGACCATTTGGTATGTAGGACTACTGACGTACCCATGCAGAAGTATCTACTAGCTGAAGCCCAACTGGAGCTGGCTTTGTCATCAGAAAATGCAGCAAGTGGAGCATGGGAGCTACAGGGCATCCCAATGGAAGTGGACACCCTCACCTGTCTGACTGACTGTAGGGATCACCACTTGAGTGCAGGCACTTGCAGAGCCTCACAGAGGGCATATCCTGAGCAGAGCCCCATAAAGCCAAGCCTTGGCCAAGTGGCTAAAAAAGTTCTTCAGGATTTGGGCCAGCAAGCCATTGTAGTTGCTGCTGGTCTGTGGACACGAAACAGCTAAGGGCTCCTACAAGGCCTGACTTGATTAAGAAAACTCGTAGGCCAGTACCCAGGAGAGTGCACACCCTGGCAAGTCTCCCTACATGTGGGCTGGAACAGTAAATTTGCTTAGTGACATCCAAATTGAAATTGATTAAAATTAATGTTTGGTTAAATGGTCACCCAGATCCCATGAAGGTTGATACAAGGGCTATCCCAAGTCGCCATTTATCTGAATGACTTACTAGTAACAGGGAAGACCAATAAAGAGCACTTGGAGAACTTAGACATAATGCGGTCATCTTTGGTGTGAGGAAGTTCCACCAGTATCTTTATGGATGGGAATTTGTCAAAGTAACAGATCACTAACCCCTGCTAGGGTGACTGAAGGAAGACAAGGCAGTGCCTCCCATAGCTTCTAGTAGAATTCAGCATTGGGCCCTTATTCTCAGCATGTACAAAGTTAGGACACCATCCAGGAAGCCAAGTGGTTAATGTGAATGCCTTGAGTCGCCTCCCACTGGCAGATTCTCCAGCAGTGGTTTCCCCCAGGAAGAGTCCATTTTGGTTTTAAACTTCCTGGACACCCTTCCAGTCACCACTGACAATATCTGACTGTGGACACTAAAAGATCCTGTTGTAGCAAAACAAAACAGCTGGTGGTAATGGGGGAAACAAAAGGGCCATCACAACCAGGATTGACACATTTCTGGACCCAACGAGACCAGATCACCGTAGAGGACGGCATGTTACTGTGGGGAACAAGGGTGAGTGTCCCAAGTAAAGGTCGCTGCCAGATACTGGCTGAACTCCAGGGTCATCCAGGGGTCTCCATGATGAAGATGTTAGCAAGAAGTTATGTCTCGTGGCCAGGGTTGGATGCTGACATAGCTGCATTGGTGAGGCAGTGCCTACAGTGCCACCAGCAGCGCCCTCACATTCGTGGGAATGGCTGGGAAAACCCTTGACTCAGTTGTTTGTCGACAATGCCGATCCTTTCATGGGCTCAATGTTCCTGGTCACTGGGAACACCCATTCAGAGTGTTTGGCCATGCACAAAGTTCATTTGGCAAACTCAGGGATGATGACTCAGAAGCTGCGAGCATCGTTCGCGATACACGGATTCCTGGAAGTATTGGTCACAGACAATGGGACATCATTTACCAGCAGGGAATTTGAATATTTTCTAAAGTCCAATGGCATTCATCATATCAGGACAGCGCCATACTATCCATTGTCCCATGGTCTAGTGGAAAGAGCCGTCCAAACATTGAAGACAAGCTTAAAGAAACAGCCTACTGTGTCACTTGATACCAAACTGACCTGGTTCCTGTTCGTTTATAGGACCACCCCGCATGCAACAACAGGAACAGCTCCAGCAGAGTTGCTGATGGGGAGAACACCAGGCATCAGGTGAAACCTGATATTCCCAGACCTTGGGGGAAGAGTGAAATGGTAGCAGGAATGCCAATGCCAGCCACATGCCTCCTCTAAGTGAAGTAGACAATTTTAATTCAGGGCATGAAGTTTGGTGCCAGAGCCATGGAAATGGCCTTGAATGGGCATGAGGCAAGGTTGAAGCGAGGTCAGATCCTGTGACTTACAAAGTTCAAGAAGGTGATACAGTCACTGAACAAACACGTGGATCACCTGAAAGTTGCTACCGTGCAAACAGGGCAGGAACAAAACATACCTGGGTCCTCAGAACAGCCAGAAGATCTGTCAGAAGGCATAGGTTCTCCTCCTCTGTCTACTGTCAAGGAAACCTCAGAGTCTGAGACGGATACAGCCTCGATATTGTTACTTCTGGGAGAAGAGAAGGAAACTCTCCCAAGACACTCTGGATGCAAGAGACGAGCTATGGTATGGTACATGCTGCCTGTGTCAGAATCCGAGTCAGAGGAACTGAACCTGGGTGAAAACATTGCAGGCAAAGCTACAACAGAAAGATCAGGCCTACATCTCCAGACTTAGCGGGGAGGGATGTAGTGTTTCGGACCAGGTGGACCTCATTGACTACGAGGTTCTTGATCAGGATTGTTAACCTCGGCCAATCAGGAAAGCCCTGGCTGACCAATATTAACAGGAGATTTAGAATCTCAGTTCAGGGAACTGACTCTGAGCTGGCTGGCTACAGCCAGTGTACTGTACACAAGTAAATAAAGGGTGACTTGGTGATGGGGTCACTGGCCTCTGTGCAGGTATTTCAACTTTGTTTTCAAAAACTTTAATGATTAACAACAGCAGAAATACACAAGTGCAATCTATTCAGATCAGAAATAGCATTGTTCAATGCACATTCTGGTAGCTAGTTTCCTACTTATTTGTGAACTGTCATCTCCTTGTCATTGTGTGAATGAAAAAGACAATGACCACTGCTAGAATTTTGAAGTATTAATGTCATTATGTACACTAACCTGCCAGCCAGTGCTATTTGCTGGATGAAGGTGAGCAATAGTTGCTCTGTCCTACAAACTGCTTTAATCTATCATTACGTTGAATGGGGATTAGTTGATGGGGGAGAAAGAAGGAAAGAGTAGTGATGTAATGCTAGGCTTCTTCACTGCATTGAATTTCATTTCCTGTCACTAGGTAGTTTGCTGTATATAATGAAGGGAAACAAACCTTGTAATATGCAACATATTCTGGATGTTTCCAAAGATATCATTAAAATGTTGAGCTTCAAAATAGTTAAATCTGATTCAGACTTCATGATGTCCAGACACATATTCAGGTATGCAAAACTAGGGGTCAACAAGAAGGAAGTTATAAAAACATTCAACATTGTTTCTCTTCAAATAGGGTTAAAAGACATAAATCAAAACTGCTAATGACCAATGGGTGCAGGCTTATAGTTGAAGAAGCACCAATAGGATAAGACTTAATTCTGAAGATAAATCTTCTTCTAAAATTAAAAGATGATCTGCTCTTCTGTAATTTGTAAAGTAAGTTCATTAATCCTTGAAGACTATCGATCCAGTTCACATTATTTTTAATGTTGCCTGAAGGAGGCCATTAGTCCAGTTTAAGTGCCTCTGAACATATATGAAAGGGGAAAATCTTCTCTTCAGGTTCCTTTCTCTGTCCGGGTTTGGATGTGATCAGAAGTCACATGACACCAGGTTATAGTCCAACAGGTTTATTTGAAATCACAAGCTTTCGTAGTTGATGCTTCTTTGACAGGTGAAGTCCTGATGAAGGTGCACCGCTCCAAAGGCTTGTGATTTCAAATAAACTTGTCAGACTACTACCTGGTCGTGTGACTTCTGATCTTGTCCACCCCAGTCCAACACCTGCACCTCCATGTCAGGTTTGGATGAGTCAACCACTATTGCTAAGTGTTGGATAACAGTAAGGTTTCAATCTTTTCTCAGGTAACTGGCCATAAGTCTTCATTGGGACAATCTTTAGATCTTGCTGATTTCAGAGCAATTGTCCTCTGCTATTTGTTCCAGATCTCATGCATTCCAAACGTTGATGTCATTTATTTACAATAATAGAGGCTGATGATGCCCCCATGAAGTTTGGCTTGTCAGCCAAGGTAAGGAACCAGGCATGGTGTGTATTATCAACTGCTTGGAGGGTTAAGCAAAAGAGAAGGACACAGATACCACTGAGCTTTATCCACATTCCAAACCATAACATAGTGACTCAGAAAATGACTCAATCTTTCACAGAAAGTCCCTAAATTATTATAAAAATAGATTTACAATATTGGGGCAGTGGATCAGCACTTATTTGTCCCTATTCCTTAACGCAGGTGCCCCTGGGAAAACAAATGATACAGCAGATTGAATTCCAAGAGAAAACTAAAGAAGTCCAAAAGAGCCCCCTTGTGGGATTCCAGAACCATCAGTCTCAATATTGAATAACTATTAACGAACAGAAACAAAGCTGCACAGAACTGAGGAGTCTCCCTCTACAGAGTAAGTGGTAGATTAATCACCTTAAACTCAGCAGAGGCAATTACGTACCTTCATGGATTTGGATTTACTAGATAAATAGTAATACTTGCAAATGACTGGAAATATATTCCTAAAAACGACAAGGCTAATTTTTACTGACTTTTATTATTGACTATAAAGACTATACAAGTTAGCAGGATTATATCCTTGCTGAATAACAATAACTACTTGCGCAGTTGGTTGCCTTGAATGTTGTAATTAATGGATCAGAAGATGCCAAGCTAACACGTTCAGCAAAGCATTTTCACTGAAGTTTTTCTTTGAAACACAAGTATAGATTTAGACAGAACTGCGTGCTTGTGTTTCAACTGACTTCAGGTAGTTTATCAGCTGTGAGACCATCACATTAACTGTTTGTATCATTCTCTGGCAGTTGTCCCATTTTGTTCTGTATAATCCCTGTCTGGATCGGTGCACCTATGTTTCTTTCATCAAAGGATTCCTCAGGCTTTCTCGGAGAATCAGAACCAAGTATTTCCTCGTGGCCTTCATTCCCCTGTTCCCCTTCTTTATTGGATATTCTTTGGCTGATTTCTGTCTCGTCACCACCTTGTATTTTCTCTTCTGGATGAACTAGATCTTGCAAAGACTCTACCAGCTGCTCTGCGAGTTCATCTTCTGATTCTTCAAAATTTCTAGGGAAAACAACAATTCATACAAATATCACTGAGAATCCTGCAAAATAACACAGAGTAGTCACATAATAAAGTTTTGTGGTGGTCAAATCTGGAAATATTGAAAGATTTAAACTCAATCCCAGCTGTCTACGCCTGACATATGCTTCCTTCTTATTCTTGACCATAGCATCAATTTCTCTAGTTATCCAGCATTCCCAACACCTACCTTCACCTAGACCTGCCTTGCCCTTCACCCTATCAGGAACATACTTACCCTCAACTCAAGTTATCTCATTTTCAAAGGCCTCCCATTTCCCGCCCATCCTTTTACCTGTGGATAGACTCTCCCAATCAACTTTTGGAAGTTCTTGCCTAATACTGTCTAATGCTGTCAAAATTGGCCTTGCTCCAATTTAGAACTTTATCTTTGTGATCAGTTCTATCCTTTCTCACAATTATTTTAAAACTATAGAATTATGACCACTTACTCCAAAGTGCTCCACCACTTACACCTCAGTCACTTGCTCTGCCTTATTTCCAACAGAATATCAAGTATTGCTCTTGTGGAATAGTACATCCACATAAGGAAGTTTTCTTGTACACTTAACAAATTCCCCTCCATCCAAGCCCCTAATACTACGCCAGTCCCAGTCTATATTTGGAAAGTTAAAATCCCCAACCATTACAACCTAAGCATTCTTACAGATATCTGAGATCTCCTTATATATTTGCTTCTCAATTTCCCGCTGACTATTAAGGGGCCTATAATACAATCCCAATGAAGTGATCAGAAGTCTCCAAGCTGTGAGAGCTTGGAGAGAATTTTTCCAGTTGTCAGATTGATAAGGGATTTAGCCCATTGGAATTGGAAAGAAGTCTTATTAATCATTCATGAAGTGGAAACTTTGCTGGTTTGGCCAGCATTTATTGCCCGTCCTTAGTTCCCCTTGAGAAGCTGGTGGTGAGCGGTCTTCTTGAACTGCTTGCAGCCCATGCTCTGTATGTAGATTCACAATGCTGTTAGGGAGGGAGTTCTAGGATTTTGGTCTAGTGAGACTGAAGGAACAGCAATATATTTACAAGTCAGGACGGTAAATGGAAGGTGCGCTTGCAAGTGCTGGTGCCCCCACATGTCTGCTGCTCTTATCATTCTAGGTGATAGTGATCATAGGTTTGGAACATGCTGTCTCAGCAACATTGGTGAATTTCTGCAGTGCATCTTGTAGATGGTACACACTGCTGCAGCTGAGCATGATGGTGGTGGGAGTGAATTGTTTTAATGTGATAAAAATCAAGTGGGCTGCTTTGTCCTGGATAGTGTCAGGCTTCTTGAGTGTTGTTGGAGTTGCACCCATCCAGGCAAGAGAGGGTTCTCCATCACAAACAAAAACAGAAATTGCTGGAAAGGCTCAACAGGTCTGACAGCATCTGTAGACAGAAATCACAGTTAACTTTTTGGGTTCAGTGAATCTTGCTCCTCAAAACTCTGTTCTTATGATCTATCAAGCCAGGTTTAATTCTGGGATCTGATTCATCCAGTATTACAGCCAGCTGGTATCACTGGATAAATAGATCAGCAAAAAAATCAGCTAAAACACACAAGGGAGAGAGAACTGGAAGGTTCTGTTGGTAGTATTAGATGGAAAGGGGTGAGAGAAGGCTGGTGTGAATCGTAAACACCAGCATGAACCACTTGGGCCAAATGGCCTGTTTCTGTGCTATACATTCATGGTAATATCCCGTTGTTTATTTGAATGCTGGAAGGTTAACAATTTTTTAAAAAGAGCAGTTGGCTTACGTGTCATCATCATCAGATCTAGGTTCCAGTCTTGCCTTATCGAATTCTATTTCAGAGGCAGTATTTGATTTGAGATCATTATTCTCTTCAGTTGGTTTCAAAGTAGTCATTGTGTCATCTGTTGAACATAAACACAATAATCTGCACTGTGTGAAAGGGCAAGGCTGGACCAGCATACAAATAACTATCTCGATAATCATTCTCTTAATCCCGTACCTGGTGTCAAAAAACTGAAAAATAGAATGGAATTATTTCAATCACAAGCCTAATAAAAATTCATAATGATGGCTGCATTTTTGTTACACAATATAGAATACATATGCAAGTTATCAATACATACATACATCATAAACATTGACTGTATTGTTCTTCAGGGGCTGCAACAGTGCAGTAGAAGAGACTTCTGCCTGATCATTGAAAAGGGTACTAACCCTTGTCCATTTCTCCAGGTTAGCTCCTTAGAATGACATTGGCTGGGCTCTTAACATAAGATACATTTGCTTCTTGTAATAGGCCTTCATCTTTCAGAATAAAGGGGTCAGCAGCAAATGAAAGACTTCTGACAGCTGCACTGTCACAAGATAGGATAGTGACACCAAGGCCACGTTCACGTGGAGTTCAGCTCAATTTTCAAGCAACAATATTTAGATTTTCTCTTGTTGGAGATGGTCATTGTCTGGCACTTGTATGGCACCAAGGTCTTGCTGCTTATGGAAATAGACTGTTTCGGTATCTGGGCTATCATAAGTGGTGCTGAACATTGTGAAATCATCCATGAACATTCTAACTTTATGACCAAAGGAAGATCGTTGAGAACGCAGCAGAAAATGGTTGGGTCTAGCACATGATCCTGAAAAACACCTGCAGCAATGACCTGGAGTTAAGATAATTGACCCCAATAAGCACAACCACAATCCTTTGTGCCAGGTGTGACTCCAACTAGCAGAGCGTTTCCCCCGATTTCCATTTACTCCAATGTTGCTACGATTCATTGATGCCACACTTGGTCAAATGTTGCCTTGATGTCAACGGCAGTTGCTCTGACCTCACCTTCACTTTTGTGAGAAACTTTAGGGATCACTAAGTCCAAATCTAAACAATGCCTCATTTAAAAATAGAGAAGGACTTGAAACTGATCTATTTATGCCATATTAATGACATCCCCCTCCAAGTGGTTGCAAAAATTAGCAGATGAATATATTTGTATTATAGCACAGCAACAGTCACTGTGTACACCATGAGGAAATAATTTGCATTTGCTAAATTATGTTAATTCAAGAAGGTATTGGATGATGATTTGGATAGAAATAATGTGCGAGGATATGGGAAAAAGCAGGAGACTGGCAGTAAGTAATGATGCTTATTTGCAGAGCTGGTGCAGAAATGATGGACTGAATAACCTCCTTCTGCGCTCTGACACTTCTGGGATTCAGTGATTCTTTTCTTAAACAGTTTTACTCAGCTAATAAATAGGTATTTATTACAAACACATAAAATTCTGAGAAAAAGAGACATGCTGACAAAGCATCTTGTCATACAATCATCAGAGCAGACTCAAGAATACCAAACCTCAAAGAGACAGACAGTTTAAAATGCATGAGAAGAAGGCGTTGATTGATTAGCAAGTGGAATCTGATTAGTGGACGTACTGCCATGGACAGTACACCTGGAAATGGATGGCAACACCTCTACTAACTACAGTCCACTTTCCTAGCAATCAGAAATCATTTCCCATGTATTATAAATTATTGTTCCCTTTCAGTTTTGGTCTTCTTGCAATTCTGTCCTGCTGAATTCAAGGCAAAAATCTTCAGCAGCATGTTTCTATTTTTCAGCACTTCTCAAGTTCTGTGGTACAAAGTGACTAAAGGTATTTTGAATATTATTAGTTTAAATTAAGTGATATTTCATCTTATTATAATTTTAAATATACAATTGAGCAGGCTTGTCATTTCATACAGTCTAATTGCAAGATATTTCTTTACCAATATGATTTTCACTCATGGTCTGACAAACAGACGATAGTTGAGCAGCCTGTAGTGCATTCAGCAAAGTATCTGGTGGTTTTTGTTCCCAATGACTTCTGTTTTTAGGAGTATCTGCATTCATCACCATAACCTCATCGGATTTGGAGGTAGCTAAAAAAAATTAGAAAGTCACATTCACTGAAACTTTTAAATATTTACAGTGGCCCAGAATCCATTGAAATGAGACACCTCACAGTGTACCATATCAGTTAGACATTTTTTCCCTTGCCCTTCAACTCAATGCTTTACAAATTACTAAAAATACAAGCTGGTAATAGTGTTACAAGAGTAATGGGGCATCTGAGACCTGGGTGAATGACAGTAGTTAGGCCTAGTGACAATTCGCTTCTGAACAAGTATGATACTGACTTAGAAAGAAATAGGGGAGAAAGGAATACTGCAGGTCTCCTCAAACGTTTTTCTGCTGTGATCCTATTTTTTCTTATCCTATGGGCAATGTGGGCTTCACTGGGCGGGTCATCATTTATTGACCATCTCTAATTGCCCAGGAAAAGGTGATGGCCTTCTTGAACCTCTGCACTCCATTTGGTACAGGTAGATGCACAATGATGTTAGGGAGGGAATTCCAGCATTTTGACAATGAAGGAACGGTGATATGTTTCCAAGTCAGGATGGTGAGTGTCTTGGAGGTGAACCTGCAGGTGTTGGTGTTCCCATATATCCGCTGCTCTTGTCCTTCTAGATGATACTCAGTGTGGACTTGGAAGGTGCAGTGTAATAAGACTTAGTAAATTTGGTGTAGTGGTTTTGTCACTGGCCTCATAATCCTGTGACCCAGGTGATTCTCTGAAGACCTGGGTTTGAATCCCACCATGGTAGAATTTGAATTTTAAAAGATCTGGAATTAAAGTTCCAATAACAACCAAGGAACCATTGTTGATTGTCATTAAAAAAACATTTGGTTATTAATGCTCTTTGGGCAAGGAAATCTGCCATCCTACACATAATTTCAAGCCAACAGCGATCTTGTTAACTCTTAACTGCCCTCTGAAATGGGAGAGTCAGTGTGGGCCTGAGACTGGGAGAGTCAGTGTGGGCCTGAAACCAGGGGAGTCAGTGTAAGCTTGAGTTTGGCACAATCAGTTTTGACCTGACTCGGGAAAGTTGGGTGTGAGGAGTTGGGTCTGGCTGTGTAAGAGATTTCTGACAAAATATCCCATTGGTCACCCTGGCAAAGTCAGCAACATCACATGTTGGCAGGGAGCTAGCAGCAACAATGGAAACAGAAGATGGCTAATTGAACATGCTTGAAGACAAACGAACACAGTTTCTGTTGAGCATACACACCTGACCAAACCGGCCTGTACCTTTAAGACAGCTACAGGACATAATGACATGTGATGTTCAGGTACCTGCCTCACTTTCAGTTACCCTCTCTGTGTGATGGAGTCAGTCAGTTAGTTATATTATGCATGTTACATAACATACAGTAACATCAGTAAGCAAAGAATCTAGACTGCATGTGCAAGTACTTGATATTTAAGCCATGTAAATAGTTGGTGTATAAATAAATCTCAATATATAGGACACAACAAAATGCAAATTTCATGGTATATGTCACATGGGATGACTTACAGAAAACCACAAAACATGGTGGCAGTAAGTTGGCGCTTAAAGCTAGTTAGTGACAGTAAGTAGACGCCAAAGGCTGATAAGGTGATAGCACTGTGGCAGTTGTGAGAAGTTTTTTCCCTAACAGTCATCATTTCTCATCATCTGCATGAGTTCAGAGCTGACAGTACAAATACAACCAAACTAAAATGCTACAACCAAAACTAAAGGCTACAAACTTGTACTGAAGCACACTGAGCATTCTATCTCTCTCTTTAAAGAAACTATGAGAACCTGCTGTTGGCTGGAGTAAAATAAACAGGAGATTGAAGTAGTCCTGAAAGGACAACTCCAAGGCACTCTGAGAAGAAAATAAATTTAAAAACACTGGAAAAAAAATCAATACTAAAAAGACGGTACCTGTGTTTCGAGTCAGTCAATTCTGCCATTTTCATTTCCAATCAATGGAAATAATACAATGAAGTCTTCACTCTTTTTTTGTACAAGTAGCACCTACACCTATAGAAACCTACTACTACAAGTCTGCATTTTTAAAGTATAGCAATAAAGGAGTGAGAAGCCAATAACCACCTTTAAAGCAAGATCAATAAATAGAAGAGAAACACTTTTAAAGTCAACAAGAATTAAACATAGAAAAAAAAAGCATTACACTATGGTACAGATTTTCATTCTGACATTTTAAAGAGCATAAAGCTACCCAAAAGGAAGGTAGAAAGCAAATATTTTGCCATGGATTGGCAATCCACTGATATTCTACAAGAACATCAGTGATTTAAAGAAAGAATTAGTCTTTATGAGTTAGCAGGTAACTGACAAAAACAAGCAATCAAACCTCTGAGACAACAAGGTGCAGGGCTGGATGAACACAGCAGGCCAAGCAGCATCATAGGAGCAGAAAGGCTGACGTTTCGGGCCTAGACCCTTCATCACCGAACAGTTAAGAAGAATAAAATGACAACATTTTTCAGATTTTTGAAGATCAACTTATAGTTCAAGTCAATTTTAGATACACAAGCATGAGTATCTGTTGTACTGTCAACAGTCAGGTGAAATGATCAAGCAATTTGTAGGCAGATATCAATATAGACGAATGCGATTTCACCAAAGCTGATCATTGCCTTCACACCTACAAAATCATTCAGAAAAAGCACTTCTTGACAAATCTAAGGAATATACCATTGGCGCACTACTAGAAGAAGTATGATGGCTTCAAGCAATTATACCAGGTCAGCAGTGGCTGCGAATGCTCAATTCTGAAAAAAATCATTGTAGCACTCAACAGGTTCAGTGGACCATTCAAATCTTCCAGAAGATGTAGCTTGTCTCACCCACCAAGATCGTGTCCAGCATTTTGTGACGTATGCAACCTATGTTGTACAAAAGGACATTGGGCAAAAAAAAAAGTTTAAGAATTCCAATGGTCCAGAGAAACCTAAAATATTGCAAGATGCTCCACAAAAACATGTGAAGAGGGGCTAACCAAGGAACCATGCCAAAGAAGTTTCCAAAGTTCCATCTGTACCACACAAGCCTGTCAAGTGAAGTCCAAGTGGTAACTGTAATGCTACAGCTTATAGATGCTAGCTAGATAGTTAATGTGGCCAACTTGTTACATAGACAGTGTCAAAAAAGCTGAAGCTTTTATCTCTATTCAAGTAATAAGTCTGAAAAGGAACGGGCAACATGCACTACATGCCAATATTGGCAATGGTGCAAGTACAAATATCATCCCTTTACTCATCTTACATGAACTGTACTCATCAAACTGACACAATGTGGTGCAGTCCACATAAGATAAGCTAACTACTTATAAAGGGTGCGACTGCCATTATCCATTTTATATATCAGTATGGGTCCTCAGGATAGGTACTCAAAATCTTTTAGATAGAAAGAGACGGATCTCTTATCATTGGTCTGCCAGCATTGATCCACATATTATTACGATCCATGACATGACAAGTCGACAGTTGCAACACCAAAGGTTCCAGATCTCAACAACAATCTTTCACGTCTTGGTCATAGCTGAATAAAGCCAGCCGTGAGTGAGTGAGTGAGTGCGTGACTGAATGAATGAATGAATAAAGCAAGCCATATCACATGATGACCAGCTGCAACAATTCAAAAAGGCCATCTGAGTGGGTGATTTGAACACAGCCCACAGGTTGCTGAGATAGTATGTTCTTTCCAGGTGAACTAGGACTCTCCAAGAATATAATCTTTAAAGAAAAAAAGAATTCCACAGGCTGTACATCAAGACATGCTAGACCATATACGTTTAGTTCACACAAGTACAGAAACAACAAATAGATTGGCATATTAATCTATATACAGATCCAGCCTTAATAAGACATCGACAACTAATCAGGTTGTGTGAAACATGCCAATACAACAATTGAGAGAACCTCTCATTCCACAAGATTTCCTTCTGAGCTGTACTGCAAGACTGCAACTTATACTTTCTATGTTCAAGGACACATTTTATTCTGGTGACTACTTTGCTAAATTCCCTTTTGTATAGCAAATCAAAGTTATCATTAGTGCAACATTTGTTGACATTGTTCGCCACATTCAATGTACCTCAACAAATTGTTTCCAACAATGGTCCAGAGTACACTCATGCATCTTTCAAAGATGTGCAGAAAGTCAGGTGTGTAACAAATTCCGTCTCCTCACTACCCTCAGTTGACCAGTCTCTCAGAATGCACTGTTTGTTCTGTAAAATTCATGATTATTAAATGTAAAAGTTGTCAAGAGTTTCAGACTGTATCTATGTGGTGTTCCTCTAAGTGACAGTTTACCCTCACCAGAAGCTCTCTAGTTTTGCTGACAGATGCACAAAGTTCTTGTCTCCCAGAATCTCACCACCAAGCCACATGTACACAAAACATTGTTATAAAGAAGGGAGAAAATTGTACAAGAGCAAGACCAACATCACATAGACAGGTATCCCAACTTGAACAAGAACAAGGTATACATGTTTTGAGATTTTCGCACAAACATATGGGTTCACAGAAAGATACTGTTGTTGTGTGTGTTAGGTCATCTAACTTTATAATAAGCAATGGTCAAATCCTGTGGGCAAGTACAGGGGATTTTGCTATAATGTGATAGTTGCGTTCCTCGCAAATCGCATTATGGAAAATCGCTCTATAGAAATAACGGGGCCTATGGGAAAAGTGGGCTTAGTAGAAGACCACCAAAAAAAACATTCAAAATCGCTAAAAAATCACTCAAAAACCTAACACATTGCATAGCACAGTTTGAATAAATGTTTAATTCATATCTAATAATGAAATAAAAGTAAATTTAACACCTTACCTTGAAAAAATGTCAAGATGACTAGATGGGGGAGGAGGTTTTGAGGTTGCTCTATTGTTAATGCAGGAACTAAGGGTCATCATATCCTCATCACCACTTTCAGGTGCAGTTGTGGTTGCAGGTATAGGATGAAAAATAGTTAATCCTGAAATGGATGGTTGTGGTTCATTGTCTTCTGGCTGTTTCTTGGGGGTTGGCTTAAAAAAGGCATCCAGTTTTTGTTGCTTTGCCCTTTTTCTTCATTCATGAAGTTCATAGGGTGCCAAATAAGATCTTATTCCACAAACTGCCACCCTGCTGCGTTCTACATTGTAATCATTGTCCTCTAAGAGCTGCAACTGCTTCTCAATTTCCCTCAGTACAGAAGACAAAAGAGGAGTGGAAAGCTCTCTTCTTCATCTCTAGCTTCCACTTCCCCCTCAATGACTAGTTATTGTGGATCAGCTGTAGAGAAGTCTTCACAGTGGGATCAAGCAGCTCTCCAACATCCTCATTCTCCACTTCTTCAAATCCAACTTGCTTTGCAAGATTAACACAATGTTCTTTGATTCTTGGGAGCTCTTCCAAAATTGAGGAACTCTGTCCTTATCCCCCTCAGTGGCTGCAATCAGCCTCTTAAATGTGTGGCTTAAATAATAAGCTTTAAAAGCTGCTATTGCACCCTGGTCCATGAGTTGAAGGAGAGAGGTTGTGTTTGGGGATAGAAATAGCACTTTGATGTTTTCAGAAAGCTCACCAATTTTGGGAGGATGTTGGCACATTATCCAGGTACATTTACAGGATTTTCAGCTTTTTTTGTTGGAGCTTCATAAATTGATAAGGCTTTCTCTTTTATGTTGAGAAGGGTGGTCCCAGATCGCTTTTTTGTTTGATCTTCCATCCACGCACTTAGAAGCCGCTCCATCTCCTCATGTACCTTTGTCCATCACCTCACAGATTTGCCAGCACTCAGACTTGTTCCAGCAATACAGCTTGCTTTAATCTTTTCTGCATTGTCACTAATGGTGCATAAGGTAGACTCTTTTATTCCTGTTGCATGAGCAATATCACATGTTCTCTCAATACACTCAAAATGCTTTATAACATCTAGCTTCTCTTCCAGTGTTACAGCCTTTCATTTACATTCACCACCCACAATTTTATCACCAGGATGCTTGTTGCTAACATTCTTGTCACTTTGGCCTTGCATTTTTGTGGGTAACATGGCAGAATTTGCAAAAAAAAAAACCCAGAGTACGGTTCCTCTCCCAAAAGCACGATGATCACATGATGCTGGCATGGAGACTCTTTTGGCGCTAAGATTGCACATGGTCAGGAGAAAGCCTAAGAAACCATCATGTGATGTCAACATGTACTCCTCCGCGCACCGATGGAATCGCATTATAGCCAACACAAGTTTGTGTTTTAGAAATAGCATTGCGCCATTTGTTAGTCACGTTATAGCCAATTTGCATTGACGAACATGTGCTATAGCAGAACCTCCTGTACACTTATCTGGCCTGTATATCATCAACCACAAGGTGACAACTCAGAAGCTGCAAATATCATACCAGACAACAACCACACTTCTTCAACAAATCTGCAATGATAGGTAGCATTGAGGGAAGCTACAGCACCAAGTTATGACAACTTTGTAAGGACCAAATCTGGCCACTTCACACATCCAACAAGGTATTATTTGGATGTCTAGAGACAATGAATCTATATGCATCTTTGTACATGTTATCAGAAAAGGATTCACATTCTTTAAAGGGAAAGAAAGGATTTTGTATTTGGGTGTGGATTCCAGACTGGACAGGCCTGTACCTTTAAGACAGCTACAGGACATCACAACAAGTGGTATTCTGATATAAGGATACCCACCTCACCTTCAGTCATCCTCTCTGTGTAATGTACTGTAACATCAGCAAGCACAGAGGCCAGACTATTTGTGCAGGTCTGTGATATGCAGCCCTGTGCACATTTAGTACTATAAATAAACTTTAAAGAATAAACACTTCTTGATGTAAACAAGACATCTGATTCAACTAAAACCCAATTTTTGTGATATACATTATAAATGCTAACATATTGAAAATCACAAAACTGCATCAGTTCCTGTGATCAAAACACATGCCAGCTTACACCGTTCAGTGTCAAATAACATACTAGTCAAAAACCAGAATATTGTGGATGTAAATTTGATGCACTGATCATTTGTGCAAAGTTGAATGCAAAATTGATGTTGAGATTTCTTATAGGTATTGTACATATCATCATCAGTAAGGCATGTCTTAATACAGCAAAAATTTAAAGGACATACGGTAAAATTTTCTACATACCTTCCATTTGAGAAGATGTTACTTCTAACGTTTTGTTTGCAAGATCTTCAAGAATATTTCCTGCCTCAGTGAAGTGCCATTTCTTCTGTTTAAGGATATCTCCTTGTTCATGTGTCAGTGTTTGATTTAACATATCCAGCTCCTAAAACATTGCAGCATATGCTGTGTTAATCCATCATTAAAATTAATAGAAACTTTTTTTTATGTTCAGCCATAAGACATTAGAACTTTGGTGTCAGGACCAACTTTAAAACATCATTCTGCTTACAATGGTTGATCTATTGCATTAGCTTTACTGGCAATATTTTTATTATTTTGGTTATTTTGGGAAGCACCGACTTCATCAAGGAGAGATTTCAGCCAACTGTGTATGTCTCTGAAATTCTCGCCAGGAACATTGCATTTCCTGCTGCTCAAAGCCTACTCCATCAACGATTTCTACCTTCCTCCTTTGGTCATTTTCCTTATCTGTGAAACACTCTGAGATATTGTTTAGTTGAAGGGTGGGATGCTCTTCATAGGGTCAGTGTGGACTCAATGGGCCGAATGGCCTGTTTCTGCATTGTAGGGATTCTCTAGGTTAACAACATCAGATAAATGAGAATTATAATACCTCTGTGCTTGCTAATGTAAATTGCCTTTCAGTTGAGCAATAAATACTGATTTCAAATTTTTCATCCAGAATATTTTTATTTTTACTTTAGAAAACATCCTAATAGTTAAACTCACCTCCTTTTGCTGGGAATCTTCATGAGTCAACTCTTCATTGAACATTATCTCAAATTTTATTCCCCCCTTTTGGAAAAGAAAAGCTTGCTTAGAATATTACATGTATGACAGATTTTAGATTAATGATTTCCAAATGACTGTACTGGCGATCCACTGTAATAATGACATACTCCAAAGAATCCACACCAAATATTAACACACTTATATGGAACTCTTGATCTAACGTCTGAAGGACAGCACCAATAATATTGTTTTGCTAACATGTAATAATAGAAATATATTAGTCTGTCAAAGATACAGAAGTACAAAATTCAAAATTCTTGCTCAAGGAGTACATCATGATCTAGTTGAACCTCTACAGTCCACAGATCTCAGAGTTTAAACTTATCAGTCACTTTACTGAAGAACCTGATTAAAGTGTGGTATTCTAATAGTTTGGTGCCACTATGCTCTGAGTGTACGAGTATGAAATGGTGGGAACACGGGTGGATCAAGGTATCAGAGTGGACAGAGGTATACTGTATTTTGCTTTGCCTATAAATGTAAAAAAAAATTAAACTATTATAAAGCTGTTTCAAATAGGTCTGGTAACTGTATTTAATGTGTTATATAATAAACTTAATAAAAACTGCTTCATTCATTCATGATATAGCTTTTAATAAAGCAAGTATCCATGCTTTTGAGAGTTCATATCATCGCCATTTTCTATATGACAAATGCTCCCTTACAAAACATATGAAAATTTAAAATGAATGTTACTCACCTTTCAAAATTGCTTTGTCTCCCGGAAGATGTCCACATATAAATCAGACCCTCTACATTGCACAGCCATTTAACAATAGCTGCACCAAATGTCACATGCTTTAACTCACTTGCTCTGGTCTATATTTTAACTTCCCCATAACCTGCCCCATTGTACCTCAGCCTCATTTTACTTTTTCGTGAATTCTTTCATGTTGGAAAATGCATAAAAACTGTGTATATACATACCTAAAAAAGACTTAATTTTTGAAATTTATGTTTAGCTTTAGTTATTCCAATGCTATTTAATTATCTTAATGTATTTTATAAATGATGGATGACCCTGGGCCAGGACTCTTAACTCATTCACAACAACAACAACAACAACAACAACAACAACTCTTAACTCATTCGATGCTTTGTCACATGTAAATTATTCAGTTGGATGGATCATAAGATAGTAGCTGTATCCCACAGCTTTTCACCATTTTTCAGTTACATATTTAGTGATACAAAACATTTGTGCACGTGTTATGATGATAATGAGGCACTTTTAATCTGAGAGGAATCACCTTTACCTTTACTTTGTGCTTGAGCTCCAGTGCTTTCTTTTCCATTTGGTGCTGCAATCTCATTTGCTTCAGATCTTCCTCGATGACCTATCAATGAGTTAAAAATATTGTAAAATGAAATAAATGAGTTAAACAAAAGTTTCAACATAGAGGATACTGCATCAGTAATATTGGATGGCCAAATCATTTGTATTGCTATAGAAATTTCATTATATAAACTATTTAAATGTGCCAAAAAGTTTGTGATTCCACCATAATGGTCAGGAAAAAAAACTGCTCTTCAGTAAATACACAATGGTGCTTAGGTGATAATTTTCTGTATCTGACTTCAGATATAAATTTAGCTCTATTCTCAGTATGTATTTTACTGTTCCTTGAATTTGACAGTTTTGAAACTAATTTGTCTTTATAATCACTGCAATTTTTAATACTTAACTCATTTCAATTCTTTTTAATTTTTAACATGACTGCTTTATAGTTGCTTTAGAAGCAGTCTAGAGCAGGCTCAGTCGACTCATTCCTGAAATAAAAGGCTTATCTTATGAGGAAACATTCAGCGAGATAAGTATATATAGATTTGGAATTTAAAAGCCTGGGGGTGATCTTATTGAAACATATAAGATCTGATAGGACTGGACTCAGCGTATACCAGGAAAATGTTCCCTCTTTTGGTGAGACTAAACCTAAGGGACATAGTTCAAGAATAAGAGGTCTCACTATGAAACACAGAAACATAGAAAATAGGAGCAGGAATAGGCCATTCAGCCCTTTGAGCCTGTTCTGCCATTCAATATGATCATGGCTGATCATCCAACTAGTATCCTGTTCCTGCTTTCTCCTCATACTCTTTGATCCCTTTAGCACTAATAACTATATCTAATTCTTTCTTGAAAATGTTCAATGTTTTAGCCTCAATTGCCTTATTTGGCAGAGAATTCCATAGGCTCACCACTCTCTGGGTGAAGATATTACTCCTCATCTCAGTCTTAAATGGATGGCCCCATATCCTTAGACTGTGACACGTGGTTCTGGGCTCCCAGTCATCGGGAACATTCTTCCTGCATTTACCCTGTCTAGCCCAGTTAGAAATTTTATAGGTTTCAATGAGATCCCCCATTATTCTTCTAAACTCCAGTGAATATCATCCTAAACAATCTGTTTCTCCGTCATCTGGAATCAGTCTTGTTGACCTTCTCCACACTCCCTTCATAGCCAGAACATCCTTCTTCAGGTAAGGAGACTAAAACTACATACAATACTCCAGGTGTGGGCTCACCATGGTCCTGTACAATCGTGGCAAAACATCCTTGCTCCTGTACTCAAAACCTCTCACTATGAAGGCCAACATACTATTTGCCTTCTTCACTGTCTGCAGCACTTCCACGCCCAATTTCATCAGCAGGTGTATGAGGACATTCAAGTCTTGTTCTCTTTTCCAATGAATCATCATTCAGATAATGATCTTCCTTCCTGCTTTTCCTATCAAAGTGTATAATCTCACATTTATCCACATTACACTTCATCATAAGAGTGTGGAGTTCCCTTTCCCGCATAAAGTTGAGGTTGAGTCTTTAAATTTATTCAAGATCGAGGTAGTTAGGTTTTCGATTGACAAGAGGATCAAGGATCTTGAGGGGCAGATGGGGAAGTGGAGCTGAGATCACAAACAGAGCGGCTGTGGTCACACTGAACGGGGTACCCTGCTCAAAAGGATACAACTCCAAAGTCCTATATGCCTATGTCCCTTTTAAGAAGCAGGGATAATGAGTGCTATTTCTATACAAGCAAACGCCATTATTCTTTTCACTTAAACGCTTGGAACAGATAATACAGAGAATGTTATTTGCAAGTTTACTCTCCTGATAGAATTAACAGTCAAAAGCTCCATAAGTCACATGTATTGATATACTTTCAGCTTTGTCCTGAGCTGAGAACTACTTTCACAACATTTAGCCACAAATTTATATCAACTTGCAGTAACTGAATCACCAATATCCACATTGTAAACATGGCATCTTTTATGATTCCATGAGATGTGTGCATTGCTGGCTAGGTGAGCATTTGTACACATCCCTTCTTGTCCTTGAGAAGGTAGGAGTGAGCTGCCTTCTCTACACTGCAGCCCATACAGGTTAAGTACAGCAACAATGTCATTAGAATGGGTGTTGCAGCTAATGAAAGGTATGTGGCTTGGAGGAGAAGTTTCAGGTTGTGGCATTCCCATCCATCCACTGTCCTTGTCCTTCCTGATGGCAAAGGTTGTGGATTTGGAAAGCACTGTCAAAGGAGCAAACATGACTGCTGTTGTTCAAGAAGGTGGCTCAACACAATATTTTCAAGAATGAGGAAGAATGACTGTAATTGCTGGCTGTGCCAGCTCTGCTCACATCTCAGGAATTAATACATTTAAAAAAAAATGGACCTTGCAGACAATAGAATTGAAATTATTTCCTAATATTGTTCTGAAATATAGCATACATTAAAATGGGCATCTCACTCTTAAAAGATATGTTACAAACCTTCAGATATTCATCTCATTGCTGCGCCAAAAATCAATACATAGGGAATAATGCACAACCTGTCTTTGTGACTTGATACATGAACTGATGAGGAGATGCCCTCAGCAGAAGTATGAGGGTTTCTGCTATAACGCGTGTTCTGGCAACACGAATTGGCTAAAAGCAATTGATGAATAGGGGAACACTATTTCTAAAACACGAACTTGTGCTGGCTATAACACGATTCCATCGAGTATGCGTCAACATCATGGGCTTTGTCAAAGGAAAATTTTTTCTCAATCCTTCCAGATGGTGTAAATGTTCAGAGCAAGTCATAATGAGCTCATTTGAAAAAGGTAATTGGATTGTATGTCATAAACCTCTAACATAATAATACACAGAGAACAACTGTCTTATTAGGAAAATATGTGAAGTCTTAGTTTGAAGAGTTAATGCTGAACATATTAAATACAAAAAAATGAAGTATAGTTTAAAATATGACTGCTGTTATAACATGCACCTCTGTGTGTAGTATTTTTGCCCAGATTTTGTTACATATTTAATCTGTAAGAACTTTTGAACTGGCTCATGTAAATCATTTATACTAAAAGTTGTCTGTCTTACAACCTGCTCTTTTCCAGCATTATTTTGAATACAATGTTACTAAGGTTTATAGTGCATTTTAATCCTACAATTAACTTCAATGCCAATTGGCTGCATAGGAAAGAAAGGTCAGATTCCTCTGCTTCAGTTATTTGAAAATCTATCCAGAAGTCTGTGCCAATGGAATGTCAGGTCAGATCAACAGAGGCCTAGGCTGTGATGCAGACTATGTTGCAGATGAATAGATTTCATTTGATTATGAGTGTCAAGGCTTACACAAGTGACAGGCATGGTGCCAATACTTATAGGAGAGTGGAAAGGAAGAATTTTGAGTGATATTTTTTGGTGGTCTGTCCCTAACCCCACTTTTTCCTTGGGCCCCGTTATATCTATTGAGTGATTTTCTATTACACAATGTTGCGTGGGAATGCAACTATCGCTTTATAGCAGAATCCCTGTATGGCACTTTAGCATCAGAGAACAAGGAAAGCCAGTCCACCTTTACTCCACTCCAAACACCTCCCCACATCCCCGTGGCACCTTCCCATGCAATTGCAGAAGGTATAATACCTGCCCATCTACTTCCTCCCTCCTTACTATCCAAGGCCCCAGACACACCTACCAGGTGAAACAACCATTTACCTGCACCACTCAATGTAGTGTATTGCATTCACTGTTCACAGTGTAGTCTCCTCCACATAGGGAGGATGAAATGCAGACTCAGTGACCACTTTACAGAACATCTATGTTCTGTTCGTAAACATGACCCCAAACTTCCAGTTACCTGTCACGTCAACAAAACGCTGTGTTCCTACGCCAACATTTCTGTTACAAGCCTGCTGCAGTGCTCCAGCAAAGTTCAGTGCATGCTCAAAGAACAGCATCTCATCTTCCACTTGGAGACCCTGCAACCTCTAGGACTAAACATTGCGCTAAATAACCTGATTCTATCCCTCCATGTTTTTTACCCAGCCCCACACTCGGGTCTTGTCATAATATGGATTGCTTTCAGCATAGCCAACCCATTAACTCCTACTGTCAGCTCTCCTTATCATTTATTCAACTTCTCTTCTGTCCTGGCCTACTAGCAATAATCCTCTCGTCTGCCTACCTCTTTCATGTGTCTCTCTCTCGGGGCTCCGTATCCACCTATCTGCTTATATCTCCCCCCAACCCCCAATCTCGCCTTCAGCATAAATAGCACTTTTTCCTAGCTGCAATCAGTTTTGTTGAAGAGTCACCAGACTCGAAATGTTAACTCTGCTTTCTTCCCACAGATGCTGCCAGACCTCCTGAGTTTGCCAGCAATTTCTGTTTTTGTGTGGCATTACACTTTTTTGAGGTCAGTATGCCTATAACAGACATACCTATAAAGTCATCATTGTATCATAGCATGCAACCTGAGGGTAGAAAGGTTTCATATTCCATCTTACCTTGAATCATTTGAAGCATGACATGCTACTAAAAGCATGCTCCTTTGTCGTAATCCACTAGCTTAATATTAGACAAAACACTTAGGTGTCTGAAAAAGGAAATATTTATATATAATAGCTAGCTGTAATAAATCTCAATTGATCTTTAATATCATGATATCCATGCCCAGATTTTTATGCTATGAGGGCTAACACAAGCATTGCTGCATCAGGCAAAATACTCTGTTAGAGGAAATATCACATCAGTACTTATACCATTTGCAAAAGTGAGCTGTGTTACCTGATGAGGCTGTTTGTCTTTGTTTTGTTCCTGAAGCTCAGTCACGTTTTCTACAGGTTTTTCTCGATCAATATGATACGTCTCAGCTAATATACCAGGATGATTCTAGGGCACATGCACACAAAAGAGGCATAAAAACCATATGTTCATTGGTTTTATCTTCACATCATTTTAAAATATATTTGGCTGCAACAGCAGCAATGCATGTTACTTTCAGTTACATTGCAGAAAGTTTTAAAGCTGAATTTGCTCTCCACAATTCTCAAATGCTAATATTCTGATCTCAAAAGTGCCTCATAGATTAGCAGGTGGTATCATAGGAAGAGAGAACTGTGCTTTTTCTTGCACCATCTTTAATGGTGTTACAGAGCATAGGCATTTTAACATACAGGTTTGGAAAGCATGTGCCCAAGACCCTCAGCCAAATTCGGTTAAATTCCCCACAGAAAACAGCACGCAATCCATTTAAGCATGACATTTTGCAGTACAATTCATTTTATTATGAATGAAGTCCATAAAAATCACACATGCCTATACCATCAAGCATTTTACTGCATGTTTTTTGAGTTTTAATAGATTGAAAGAGGGAATGCATATCGGGTTTTGAATGTTTTTCAAGGATCCCAAGAATTCTTCATGTGGCTCTCTTTCTCAGCATATGGACATATGAATTAGGAACAAGAGTAAGCCATTCAGATCCTAGAGCCTGCCCCACCATTCAATAAGGTCATGGCTGATCTGACTGTGGCCTCAACTCCACATTCCCACCTACCCCCAATATAATTTGCGTCACTCAAGAATTTCTATCTCTGCCTTAAAAATATTCAATGACTCTGCTGCCACTACTCTCTCAGAAAGAGTTTCAAAGATTCAAAGCACTGAGAAAATAATCTCCTTCTCTCAATTTTAAAGTATGTCCATTATTTTTAGTTTATTCCGCAATAGGAAACAGCATCCATCCTGTCAAGTCCTCTCCTGATATCTCAATAAGATCATCTCTTATTCTTCTAAACTCCAATGGATACTGGCCAAGCTGAATTTGCACGTGGTGACAAAGATCAGCGGAAGAACAGAACATTAATGCATAAAGAAGGAAGACAGCAAAATCCTGAAACAACAGATATAGAAAGCATTGTAGGATTATTAAAAAAAAAACACAAAAAAGCACAGAATGAGAAAAAATATTCAACTCAGCGGAGTAAGTAAAGTCAGCTTAGAACTATTGGACCATAGAGTTGCTTTTGCAGAGAGAGGCAGCTGGTGGTGGTCATGGTTTAACCTAAGGGTGGCTACACCTCAGGAGGGGACAGGTTAGGAAGGAGGGACCTCCATGGTAACTTCAGCTGGTAAAGGAATTGAAACTACACTGTTGGTATCACTCTGTGTTACAAACCAGCCATTCAGCCAAGTGAACTAACTGACCCCCCCAACTTCAACTCAGCATAATTATTGTGCTGTATAATTTGCAATAGAGACTCTACACATGCACAGGAAATCCATATTTATTCTTCTGAAAAAGAAGCTATGCAACTCCAGGTTTAATAAAGTTGAACTTAGTCATTTTATGTTGATTCCTCAGACTTGCTGACATCAATTGACATCTTTCCCCACCATCAGATGGCGTTCAATGCAGAGAAATGTAAGGTAATACATTTGTTACAAAAACATGCAGAGACAATATAAAATAAGGCTACATCTCAAAAGGCAGTGCAGAGTGACTTGGGTGTATATGTGTGTGAGTCATTAAGGATGGTAACACATGTTGTGAGAGCTGCTAATAAAGCAAACAGCATTCTGGGCTTTATGAATAGGGGCATGGAGTACATGTTGAACGTATATAAAGCATTGGTTCATCCTCAGCTAAAGTACTGAATTCAGTTCTGGATGCTGAACTTTCAAAAGGATATGAAGGCTTTGGAGTGGGTGCAAAAGAGGTTTATGAGAATAATTCCAGCGTTGAGCAATTTCAGTTACGAAGACTGATTGAGAAGCTGGAGCTGTTCTCCTTGCAAAAGAGAAGGTCGAGCCAAGATCAGATTAAATTATTTAAAATCTTGCGGGGTCTGGACAGAATAAATAGGGAGGAAATGCAATCCTTTCTGAAAGGATGAAGAACAAGAGGGCATGTATTTAAAGTAATTCGGAAAAGCTGCAAAAGGAACAATGTGCAGGGTTATAGGGAGGGGCAGGAAAATGGCATGAAGTGAACTGATCGTTCAGCGAGCCAGGTACACGCACTGACAAGATGATGTCCTTCTGCACTGCAACAACCCTGTGGTTCTGTCTTTAAAATAAAATGATTTAACCTCAGTTACTGAAGGAACTAAGAGATATCAGGATATCCGTGATCTTACTGATGGATTAAGCTTGCAAGCAGCTGACTCATGCTTCTGAAATAACAACTTGTATTTATATAGCACCTTTAACATACTGTAACACCCCTAAGCAGGCCACAGAGATGAAAGCAGAAAACTGTCCCTTTGCACACTCTATCAATCCAGAAACTCCAATTATTATTAGAACAGACTTGACAGATGATAATCTTGTTTAAGATTACCTACTTTCTGTCAGCAATTTTCCCAGCCAGACACTCCATGTCTGGCCTATCCCGAATTCATCCATCAGAAGCAAGTGGCACAAAGTCAAAGAGGAGCAGCATTACAGGCCAAGACACAACCCTTTTTGTAACGTGAGTTGCTGTTGTATGTCAGGAACTCCACTGGGAAAGCTCCCAAATCCCTTTTGACAGGAACTGAGGGGAGGTATGTGTATACGGTAAGTGAGGAAATGGCAGGTAATGGGTGGTCTGCCAGACACACGAGAAGGTAGGTTACCAGTTAGGTGAGATGGTTATGGTGTCAGAAAGGTGAGAGGGTCATTTGCCAGGTGGGTGTGGTGGGGCGGGTAGGCAGATGAAGTGGATTTGGGAGTGGGGGAGGGTCGGCAGGTGGGAGTATGTTGGGATGGGATGAGAATAGTGAGGGGGTGGGTGTGGGGTGGGGAATGATGATGAGTCCTGAGGCATGGGCTGACATGGGGAGACATCAGGCCCGGGGATGGTGGGGCTCTGGGTGGGAGCAGTCTCATGGGAGGGGACCAGAATGTAGGCTGTCAGTCAGTTTCGACTTGGACGGTGGTGGGAGAGAACAGAAGGGTGGTCTCGCGTTCAGATATTTGGGGGTGAGGGTGCCAGTTCTGGTTGGTGAGAGGATGTTGGGTTGGATTAGGCTGGGAACAGAATGGAAGCTATGCCAAATGATTGAGGGGCTAGCATGCCAGAGGTCATGGGAGGTCAGGCTAGGGGTTGTCAGTGATTTGGAGTTGTGTGGGTGTTGGGCTTCAGGGCGAGAGTGTCAGACCAGAAGAGGGTAAGCCATAGTGTAGAGCCCAGGTGTGAAAGTGTGTGGGTCATGGGTGTCAGTTCTGGATAAGGAGTGGGTCTGGCATGCTGGGGTATCTGGGGTCATGAGATGAGGAGGTTGAGTGGGGTGTCATTGATTATTCAAAGGTTCAGTTTAATAGGGGTTAGACTAAGATTTTAGTCCTTTCCTGAGGAACTATTAAGCTTAACTGAGTCAGAACACTTGAAATTCTCTGTCTGGAAGGGGCTTTCTCACAGGATTCCAATTGCAGGGAAATTGCCAATTGGAATTTGCAATTTCCTGTCAATTCACTCCGAGTCAGACCCGTATGTTCAAGACTTGCTCCAGAAATGGCTATCTGGCCAGTTTGAGCGTCGCTCAATATTAATACTAAATGTAAATGTGGCTGTGTAACCCTACCTTTGGACCAGGAGGCTTGTGCCTTAGTCTCATCAGCTTCAGAGGTGTAGAATAATGTCTCTGGACAGGTCATTTACAAAATATCCAACAAAATTATTTTAATTATAATCGAAGATGTGATTACGTTCATGGGCACCAACTTGTGTCTTATTTTCCAGTGACATAGCACATTGGAATTTCAATTTATGTCATTAAACCAGTGCTCTACGGTTGACCATGATCTCTACAATATTTAGAAACTGCCACATCAATATTGCATATATCCAACTAGTTCCATTTCTGAGTCATACCTCCTTTATTTCCAATTTTCCCCTAATTTCTTTCACTTCATGCTGATATTGCTGCCTTATTTCCTTCAGTCGCTGACAATATTCCTAGCAAATAAAAACAGTTAATGTTTTGTAAAAATATTTTTTCTAGTTCAGCTGCAAAAGATGTATTTTCAGATTATGTGGGCAGATCATATCCTTTCTGAAAAATGTAAATCAAGTTAAATGATTTGACTCTTCAAAATACACAATATTATGACTGAATTCCAGCTTAACTCAGGATGAGACTAAATTACCAAAAATGGTGAATTGGCAATGATGAGAAGGAAATCCTCTTCTGACTGGTCTTACATTTGCCGCTAGTAGCTCGAAACTTGAAATGGTATTGGAAGGATAGTAGATTCTAATATCTGATGTGAGGAATCCAGGGCTGTTGGGTCAAAATCCTGGAACACCCTCCTAATATCAGTGTACATTCTAAGGACTACAGCAATTTAAGAAGGCCAGGTCACCATTGCCTTCTCAAGTGCCAGTGATGCTTACACCTCCTGAAAGAACAATAAAATAATTCTTTCCGTTGCCCTGCCTTTAGCTAATGTAAACCTGTTTTAAAGCATCAAGTAGTTTACTTCATCTGCTGCTCCTCTTTTCTTGGCTTGCTGCTTAGCACATTGTCTAGCCTGTACATCTGGATTCAGAGTTTGATATTCATAATGGTCCGATGAGCGAGGACGTATTCCCTGTGGAACATATACAACAAATCCAGGTGACAAAAATTCTTCTGATTAAATAGTATAAACAAAGACAACTTCCTTATGATGAAACTTTCAATGCAACCACTTACCAATTGTTTTTCTACTTTTATCTTATATTCTTGTGCTTCCAATTTTCTCTGAATGTATTCTTCATGCACAGCATATGGCCTGAAATAAACAATGATGTTTATTAAGGTTTACCACAGGCACTGGTCTTCATTGTTACTTGCTATCTCTGACCTTAACAAAATGACAGCATCGTTGATCAAATTAGTTTTGTCACAAACTGTGTATCATTTCCCTGTATAAATATTCTTCCCAGAAATTAGTATAATGGATAGTAAAAGTCAAACTACCAGGTCACACTTCATTGAATGGTATAACACAGCTTCTTACCCACAATTACCAGCTCTCTGAGTTACTCATTTCCCAAAGACAGGAAGATAAAACTTTAAGGGACACTTTTGAACCCAAGTGTTAGCTTTCAAGCAAATTTCTTCCCAACATTAATTGATGGACTGAGACCAGCTACTTTGAGAAAATATTGGCAAACTGCTCATTTGTTAGGAATCTGCTGAAAACGATGATCAAAATATTTATACTAATGGACAACCGTAAGCAGTTAGTGTCTAATACATAAAAGCTGCATAAGAACATTTGCTTCCAAAATGCAGTATCATATTAATAGACAGAAGCACCTTGCATTTTTTTTACAATAAAGAAGGAATAGAATTCAGATGATTACCAATGAAGTGGATCATGATTCACTTTCAGTCTGTAATCTTCAATTTGGTAGTTATAATAAGGCACAGGTGGAGGTATGTGGTCATTTGGTCTTCTCGCCATGTAATCTAGATAACCATGGTAGTGTTCATACCGGCCTTCGATCCTGGGAGATGCTGGCTTTGTAGTTAATAGATTGTTAAATTGCTAAAGAAAATGTTTTATAAAATTGTAAACTGTTATTATGGATTGTATTTTTTACATAGTGTTTGTATTCCATGTTCAATATTTAAACAGATCTGAAATAACCAAAATTACCCGTTTCTCAATGGCAGGAAATAATTTTTGTTGAACTTCCATTTGAAACAGACTATAGTGAAGTTGTTGTAATACTATGATGGTAAGCAGCATGGACTCCCCCCATATGGATATATGACTTGATGAAAGAGAAACTTAGAGTAAAAGAAGAAGACATCGCAGTTCAAAGAATAATTCTGATTCCAGAACAATTTGATTTAACTAAAAATCTTTGCTTAGTGCCTAAATTTATAAAGGATGGAGTTGAATATATTTCATCATTAGAAAAGATAGCTCTGAAGTCAAAGTGGCCAAAAGATGTTCGGACGTTAATGTTAGAAAGTATCCTGAAAGGCACAACTACAAATGCGTACACTACCTGAAGAGTAATCTGCAGACTATGGTACGGTTACAGGGACAATACTCAATGCTAATGTTCTTGAAACTTATCAATTAGTGTTTTGGACTATAAGAAATAAACTCAGACAGGTATTTGGGGTGGCACAGTGAATCAGTGGTTAGCACTGCTGCCTCACAGCGCCAGGGACCCAGATTCAATTTCCCCTTAGGTGACTGTCTGTGTGGAGTTTGGACATTCTCCCAGTGTCTGCATGGGTTTCCTCCAGGTGCTCCGGTTTCCTCCCATAGTCCAAAGATGTGCAGGGTGGGTAGACTGGCTATGCTAAATTGCCATAGTGCCCAGGGATGTTTAGGTTAGGTGGGTTAGACATGGGAAATGCAGGGGTAGGGGAATGGGTCTGGGTGGGATGCTTTTCAGAGGGGCAGTGTGGACTTGTCGGGCCAAATGGCCTGTTTCCACACTGTAGGGATTCTATAATTTGTAGATTTTGCAAGAGACAAATAAATACTCTAGAGTTTAATGGTTTTGATTACAGAAATTGAAATAAAATTGAGATCATGAAGGAAATCATAATTGTGTACAAATTCCAAAATACTATTATGTTAACCCTTAAGATTTATTTAGGTAAGCATTAAGTACCAAAGATCCAGGAAGCAGCAATTCTGGTGGGTACCTATGATATCTCACACTGACAGTTGTATGTGGGAAAATGGCTGTATAGAAATCAGCAAAGAAGTTAGAGGAATAGAAAATCCATGGATTAAAAAGGTATTGTATGAGGGAATAAACAGAAGGAAGTCAAAATATAGAGGGAGAAAGACTAGAACCTAAAAAGTGATGTAAATAATTTCCATGTTAATAAGACAAGATGGTTGTGACATCAATGACCCCCAACCCATGGTAACCGATGATCTCCAATGCATTATCATCTCCCAGCCTTATATGTTGAGTTACCCCCTTCACAATATTGTCCTCTATGTATCCCAGTATGCTGCCTCCAATTTCCACAACAGATTTCCCCACCTTTACTACCACAACAGTGGCCCTCTATAATGCCCCTTGACTTTCACTGATCTGACCCTCAGGACTGATCATGGATTGACAATGGCTCACCTGTAACCAACTTATCAGACAGGCCCAACTGATGTGTGACTGGACCCCTGAACTCATTGCAGCTCCCCGAATGACCTACCACAAATCCCCTGACTGATTGCATTAGACCTGCAGGGCTGAGAGTGCCCCATCCCTGGATAGCAGTGATATAGAACCCCTCCCAATGTAGCACTGGGCCATACAGCAACATGTCCACCTCCCTGACTGATCACTGCTGACTGTAGTGATTGTAACAAGCTCAGCCCTGTGGACTCATAGAATATGAGTTCTCTCATTGGGGCTGTTAATCTAGTCCAATCAGGGAGCCCTGGGTGACAGATAAGAACAGGACTGTCAGACATCCTGTTCACTCTGAGAGCTGACTCTGAGGGAGCTGTATCAGTGTCAAGGACTCTCTATGTGAAAATAATGGGTGACTTGCTGACAGGATACCAGCCTCTGTGGAGTTGTTTCACTGACAAACACAACAAGCTGCCTGGCTTTGCGTCTGCACAAAACAGCAAAATAACACAGAAGTATTATGAGCCTTTAAGTTGAAAAAGTTGTGGCAAAGCTCGAAAAGTCTCTTGCAACAATGTAATAAGGAAAGGTGCCGGTCAGCTCTAAAGTGCAGAATTGAAGTGGAGCACTGTATTATAAGTTGATCAGACATGGTCAAGGAGAATGTGGTAAGGCTGATGTGATGGGTGGGGAGGAGTGGGGGGGCAGCCACTGCCCATGGAGTGTAACCTGAGATGTCAGTGAGTGTTGTCCAAGACGGAAAACTAGAGGATTGAGCAGCTACCTGGAGCTGTTAGATACCCACTCTGATTTTGATGTTGGAAACTGTGACCATCTAATTTCTATTAATGAGATCAATGAGGTGTGATAAAGTACTAATAGCATACAAACAAGCCTATCACTGATCTTCACTGTGATTTTTGTCTTGCCATTCAAAGCTTAGCTGTAGGACCGGACTTATTTCTCAAAGTTGAGAATCTCATTGCTCTAATTTCACCACTTTTCTCAACTCACTCACCATCGCCCATGTCATTTTAGGCTGGAAAATTCTGCCCATTGTCTCTGTTCACATAATCGTCCAATGCCCTCTTGAATGCCCCAAGAATTGGCCTCCACCACACTTCCAGGCACTGCATTCCAGATCCTAACTCCCTGCTGTGTGAAAAAGTTTTTTTCTCTCACATCACATTTGCTTCTTTTGCAAATTATCTAGCAAATTGCCCTCTTGTTTTCAATCCTTTTATGCGAGGGAACAGTTTCTCCCTATCTATTCTGTCACCTGCTCATGAAATGTTTGCAAATATTTATGAAATCTCTTCTCAGCCTCCTCCTCAATTTCTCCACTCCATCTTCAAAACTAAAGTACCTCATCCCTGGAACCATTGTCGATTAACATCTTCTGCATTCTTTCCTTTGGGTTGACATGCATCCTAAAGCGTAGTGCCCAACTGTACACAATACACCAGATGTGGTCTAACTTGTGTTATGCCAGTACTCTGTGCCCCTAACAGTAAAACCTAGGACACTATACGCTAAATAACTGCTTGCTCAACCTGTCCTGCTACCTTCCAAGACTTACACACATGTACATTCTGTTCCCTCTGCTCCTGCACACCCTTTAAAGTACAGTTCTTCATTTTATACTATCTACCAAAATGTATCACCTCATATTTCTCCACATTGAACATCACCTGCTGCCTATGTGCCTACTCCACCAAATTATCAAACCCCTTTTTTAATTTTACACTCTCCTCCTTACCGTTTACCAAGCTTCCAAATGTTACATCATTTGTAAACTTGTAAATTGCCTCCAATACACCAAGATCAAGATTATTAATGCATATCAAGAAAGGCAAGGATCCCAAAACCAAGTTATAACTAAGCTGTAACTCTTCTCTCAGGTTTTCTGTGTGGCACTGTATCAAATGCCTTTTAGATGTCCATGTACACCACATCAACAGCATTAACCTCATCAACTCTATGACCTGTTCAAAAACTCCAGCAAATTAGTTACGCATTATTTTCCCTTAAATCCAAGCTGGCTTTTCCTAATTAATTTATATGTTTCCATGTGACTAATAAGTCTATCCTAAAAAAAATTTCAAGTGGTTTCCCTACCACTGAAGTTAATCGTATTATTCTTACAAACTCTTTGGAACATGGGTGTTATATTTTGCAATTCTCCTGTCCTCTGGCACCATCTCTGAGTCTAGGGAAGACTGAAAGATTATCGTCTGTGCATTTGCAATCTCCATTCTAACTTCTTTCATTGTTTTTGACTGCATTTCATACGGTCTCAGTACCTTATCAGTAGTTTGCTCAATATCTCCTCCGTTTCAATGTTAAATCTGTCTAGTGATTGAGTTGCATCCTGTGAGACCATGGTCTGGACAGCATCTCCTTCCTTAGTTGCGGCTGATGCAAAGTATTTATTTAACACCTCAGCCATGACTCCTACCTCCATGTGTAAATCCCCTTTCTGGTCGCTAGCTGTTGTACTGTTCCATTTACCAATCATTTATTGCTTATGTGCCTGTAGAAGGCTTTAGGATTTCCCATTACATTGGCTGCTACTCTTTTTCTCATAATCTCTATTTGCTGCTCTTATTTGTTTCTTTCACCTCTCTTCTGCACCTTATATATTCCTCTTTGGTTCTCAGTCACATTTTCAACCTGACACAATTTTTCTTCTTAATCTCTATCTCATTTTTCATCTCAGGAGCTCTTGGTTTGTTTGCCCTACCTTTCCTTTTCAGGGAATATATCTTGACTGTGTCTGAACCAACTCTTTGAATATAGCCCATTGATTAGCTACTGTTTTATCCTCACCAACCTTCAGTTCCAGTTATTCGACCCAAATCCATTTTTGCTCCATTGAAATCAGCTTTACCCAGTTAATTATTTTTACTTTGGAATGTCCTTTGTCCTTTTCCACTATTATCCTAAACGTTATGATACAACAATCACTATCCCTATATGGTCTCCCAATGACACTTGATTTACTTGGTCCACCTCATTCCCAAGAACCAGGTCTAGCAGTGACTCCCATCTTGTTGGACTGGACAGGTACTGCTGCAGAAGATTGTCCTGAACACATTCTAGGACTAGTTGCATCTTGCTGCTCATTGCATTACCACTGTCCTAGGCCATATTTAAGTACTAAAGTGTCTAATTATAACTGCTCTATAATATTTGCACGTCTGTAATTTCCTTGCTGATTTGTTCCTCTACACCCATTCCACTCGTTGCTGGATTATAGACAAAATCAAGAAACATAATTGCACTTTTTGTTCCAAGGCTTTAGCCAAATGTTCTTGGGCTCTCTGGGATGTCCTCTTTCTGCTGCACTACTATATGCACCTTAGCTATCTATCTTCCTTTTTTCCATTTCCTTATCTTATCTGAAACCTTGTAATGAGAAATATTTAACACTCAATCCTGTCCTTCTTGAACCACGTCTCTGTTATAGCCACTACATCGTAGAGTCATAGAGACGTACATCATAGAACCCACTTGGTAATCTGTGCCTGTAACTTGATAACTATACTCCATGCATTCACATAGATGCGGTGTCACTCTGATTTAGATTCTACTTCTTTCTTCCTGTCTGCATCTTTCCTAGCAAAGTTTCATGCCAAAAACCTGAGACTAGCTTAGTAGAGTTTGATGCTACAACCGTACAATTTAAAAATGATTTGTGTAGTAGGAAGTGACAAACAATATCGTAGTAGATGCTTTATCAAGAGTAAATTTAAGGAAAGCAATGATCAAAATGGACTTGTGTAAAAAATTATTGTTTGGAAAGCCCTTGTATATTTTATTCAAGTACATTGTTATTGCTAGAGTAAACCCCATATAAGTAAAACAGAAATCATGATAAAAAGAGATTGCATTCAAGATATAAATATCTCTAACAGATATCTTATCGTTTTACCCTGGTGGGCAGGTGTTAGGGGTGAAGCACAATTGTAAGGTTAATTTACATTTTGTATTTTGTGGGCTAATAAGGGGGGATACATAGTTTTGATTTTATTTTTAAAGTTGTTCTTATAAGCTTGGTGCCCATAAATTTGGAGGGCTTTTTATTTATATACATTTTTAATGAGATTTGACACCCACTGAAGTGAAGACATCGGAATTAGTAGTTTCAGTGCATTAATAAAGGGAGGATAAACCTATGTTGTTCCCTAGCAACAAGGACGTACAGAAACTCATAAAAATCTAGATGTGAGTCAGAGGGTCTGTGTGTGTGTGTGTGTGTGTGTGTGTATGTGCGTGCGTGCACACATGTGGAGACAGACAGATTAGAAGCAGGAGCACATTTTTTGCGTTTAACAAAATGCTTAACCTCCAAGTACACTGGCATTGCACGGCACTGTCATGGAAATATTCAGTTATTGATCTCATGGTAATTAATAAAAAAGGTTAGGGTCTATCAAACTAGGTTTCACTCTGCCTTGTCCAGTATTAGCATCAACCAGGATTGTAACTGAGCACAGACCTCCAACAGCAATGCCAAGACATCAGCTCAATTAGTATGGTCAAAGTTTGAAGTAATGGCTTGAATCTACAACTTTCTGACCCAGAGACAAGGCTGCAACCAACTGAGAAAAACTGACACACAGCGTTAGTTAATACCTAATGGAGACTTAGGTGGACAGAAAGGAATAACTCAAGAAAGACCCTTCTGTGTTAATCCAGCAAAAATAGATGTGGATGCTTAGCAGCAGATATGCTTTGGAAATTCCTGCAGATAATTCTACCACTGTGTTCTATACATTCGATCTGGAAGATTGGTAATTTCTGATAACCAGTAGCTTGATATTCCAGATATTACTGGAAAGTAACATGCTGCTAAGCTTTTCATCTTGCACTCATCAGGTCAAATGCAAGAATGCCAAGTTTCAAATTATCATAACAATTTATACTAAAGGAGAAAAGAATACCGACTAGTTGGCAATTCAACTCTAGAAGCAACATATATCCCTATGCTGGGTCCCATTCTCTGTAAACATTTGGGATATTTTCAGGCTTTGCACTTTACTTAAATTACCAGGGGCTTAGGGAACCTATAGAGCTCCATGGTTTTCTCTGTGGCAACGCCAGAGGTGATTTGTCAACCAATCAACTGTAGTTAAATAAATTGTTGCAATTGTTTTAAATTTGACCTTCTTGTGTTTGTCCAGATGACTGCAAGACAAGCAGGTTCAGCCACACATCTGTCTTTTCAGCAATATAGATTCTGACAATTAATACGCTCAGCATCGGAGTGGTCAGAAGACAAATATTCTTTATACTATAATCGCACCTTGATATTCGGTCTGTTGGCCACTGCTGACGCTTTCCATTCATAATGATCTGGTGGTGGCTTTTTATTTATTAGTGGTCTTGGTAGCTGCTTCATCTCACATTTAGCTTTCTGTATCTTTGGAGCTTGCATGTAAAGGTCAAAATTTTTAAAAATTATTAAAGATACTTTGTTAATGTACAGGAAATCCCAGATGGCTGGCGTATATCCAAAGTATCTACTGAAAATTTTCATTCATTAGTTTCTAGATTTCTACATAAAAATGTCAAACTAAATCATTTTTCTTATTTGGTCACGCACAAAGTCAAAATTACTCCCAATGCCTTTTCACTCCCTTTTAAAGGGGCAATAGTGGGGTAATTAGCTAACCAACACAGTCCACCTTGCATAACAATTAGACCAGTTTTGTTCTAACCTGATTGTGAACTGGCTGCTGTAAGTCTCGATGCAGGCGACTTCTTCCTATGAATGACTGTGTGGCTAAATTCTTCCTTTATTAGCTGCATTTTGTTTAGAAATATGCAAACACAGACATTGTTGTTTATTTTACAGGCAGAAAAATATCAAAATCATGAAGATCAGGAACAAGATTTCAACCACTATATTATTTCTCTCACAGGAGGTTTTTTATAATTAAATCTTCTAATTTTTGCGAAAGTTCTTGTTTTCAAACTAATTATTCAGAAGATGCAGATAGTAACATTTAGCCAGATAGTTAATATCTCTTCCTGTATATGGACCTCCCAATGTATCATTAAAGTTCTTACTCATTAAAATACATTCAAAGTTTTTGAGGAGATTTGTAACTTGGGTTGTGGATGAGGTTGTCAACTTCCTCGCCAAGCCAGTGTGTTTGATTGCAAACACGATCCGCCAATTCGTCCATGACAGACCATGACAAGAAGACACAACACGTCCTGACACACTAGTCACCCTGCCGTGCATCAGAGACATATCAGAGATGACCACAAGATTACTCTGAATCCTAGGTATCAGGGTAACCCACAAACCAACAACCACCCTGTGAAAGCTACTGACAAACATGAAGGATGCCATACCCACAACCAATAAAACTAATGTAATATACAAAATGCCACGCAAGGACTGTGAGAAACATTATATCGGCCAAACTGGAAGAAAACTGACAGTAAGGAAACACAAACACCAACTAGCCACCAAGAGACATGACCAGTTCTCACTGCTCTCAATACACACGGACAAAGAAGGACATGAATTTGACTGGGACAACAAATTCATAACAGCACAAGCCAAACAGAGACATGCCAGGAAATTGCAGGAGGCCTCACATTCCAACCGGAATTCCATCAACAAACACACTGAACTGGACCCGAAATACAAACCACTGAGAAACAGAACCAGAAGTGATGCCAACCACCCCGACAAACTGAGGCATATAAATAAATAAATAAATAACGAGCAGGACAGAACACCAACACTTCACCAGAGGCGCACTGACGATGTTACCTAGCAGGGTGACGAAACGTCTGCAATCAAACACACCGGCTCAGCGAGCAAGTCTACGACCTCGTTAACATACCTCAGATAAAACTTAACCCAAATCTACTGCAAATAATTTATGTTCTAAATAAAATTTAGAAGAATGAAAACGTACCTCAGCACTGAGGTATTTTCTAATACGCTTCTCCAAGAACTTCCTTTTTAAAATTGAATTGATGGATGGTCGATCACGGGGGTTTACTTTAAACAGCTGGGCTAATAACATCTTCAAGTCATAGGTGTATCTGGAATTTACTGGGGCATAGCGACCTCGACAGATCCTCACCACTAATTGATGCAAATTATTGCCTTCGAACTGAAATAAAATCACTGAAATTGTTTTCACAATAAAGTGATCAACATATAATTAACTTCAATCTTCCAAACATTTTGCATTTTTCTCCTTTGGGACATTCATTCTTAAATACATTTACTTTTATTCTCACTCACACCTAGAAGGCCACAATTAATCAGAACAAAATAAAATGAATTTTCCCAGTTTTTAAATGTTCTGGGAGGGATAGCAGAAGGCTAAAAATATCATGCAGACATTGGGATGGAAATCTGATACTTCCCATTGCCCAGGCCTATTGCGAATGGCAAAATCCTCAGCAGAACAGCTCCCCATCATGGATAACAGGCAGTTGGGGCAGGGGATCATGGTTGGAGGGGAAGAAGAGGCTTCCTTGGTGGGAAGACAGGGCCCCAGTGGCAAGGACCATTCCCAGGTTCAGGCAATGCCAAGGAAACAACTGTGCTACCCACCAGTTTAGGTTGGGCCTGATCTGAATTGTCCCATGCTATCACCCATAAAGCTCTTGCCTTTTTGATGGCACCTCAGCATGAGGCGTCCTGTCCTTGGTGAAGCAGTCTCAGAACTGAATACCTTCAATCAGTGGCACTGAGACAGTTTTTGCTGAGCTGCAAGCCCACTGACTGACTTGGCAGCTCTTGGTAGTGAGCTGCATTGACCCTGCTAATTGGCTCATGACAGAAAAATGCTGCATCAGGGCCTGGCTGCCTGTTGGAACAGGATCACCTCACATTTTTGGCTCTAATGCAGGACTATTATCTCCTCTCAAACATTCAACCTAAGGATTTTATTTTTAGTGAGAATGCATCTACCAACTCTCAAATTTAAATCCTGCAGTAAATCTGTTGTTCATTGGGCTGATAAATTTTAAATTCATATTCTTAGCCACAAGAGCTGTGAGATCAAAATGAGGCTATCATATTTATTTACAGGAATATGGGTATCACTGTTAAAGCCAAGGTTTCTGCAGTTTTGTTTTATGCATTTCGGGGTTTAAAGGTGACATCAACAAGGCCAGCATAATTTTCCCATTCCTAATTGCCCATGAGAATATGGCGGTAATCTACCTAATTGAATTGTTGCAGTCCACGTGAAGTTATTCCAACAGTTTTGTTACATATAGAATTCTAGGAGTTTGATCCAACAATGATGATGGCACAGTGGTATATTTCCTAGTCAGGATGATGTGTAAAAAATGTACAGTCTTCCCCTGCAGCTGGTGCTCTTGCCTTGCTAAGTGCTAGATGCTGGGGGTGTGGGGTGATGCTGCTGAATAAGCCTCCCTGAGTTGCTGTAGTGTATTTTGCAGGCGGTGTATACCACTGCCATGGTGCATTGGAGGTAGAGGAAGTCAATGTTTAAGGTGATGGGCAAGATACTTCAATACCTAAGGAGTTGTGAACAGTATCAAACACCATGGAATCATCAGAGAATATCCCGAGCTTTGACTATAAGTTGGAGAGAAGGTCATTGATAGATAGTTAGACCTAGATCACTGTCATAAGGAACTGTTGCAACAATATCCTCGGACTGACATAATTGGTCTTAATGACCACAACCACCTTCCTTTGTGCTGGTTATGACTCGACCCAGGGAATTCTTTTTTTGCTGAAGGCGAGCAAAGGCTGTAATGAGGTCTAGAAGCTCAGTGGTCTTGATGGAACCAACAAATTAATGTAACCTAAGTTATGTGTTTTAAATCAAACTGTTCAGATACATCAGGAGCTGGTGAAACTTGAATCCTGGCCTTCAGGGCCAGAGGTAGGGATACTACTACTGCACCACAAGTGCCCTAAAAACACAACTTTATTTTCACACAGCCAGTCACACAGAGATCCACCAAGTAAGTAGGTTATTGCTGTGTAAGTGCTGTGTTTTTACACTTGGATGATATCTTCCATTAATTTGTTGATGATTGACAGTAGAGTGACGAGGTGGTATTTGACCAGATTGGAATTTGTCCTGCATTTTATTGGACAGGACATGGCTGAGCAATGATATCCCCAAGGTAGTAGCTGCACTGGAACAGCCTGGTTAATAGTATGGTTAGCTCTGCTGCATAAGAATCTGGCATTGCAGCCAAGGTTTTGTCAGCACTCATACTCTTTGTTTCAACAGTACAAAGACTCCAGCTATTCACAAAATATGCTAATAATTTAGATGAAAGTAATACCTAAACTAAATGTAATACCTCAAAATTTCCAGATGACACAAAGCTGGGTGAAAGAATCAGCTGTGAGAAGGATGCAGCAATGTTGCAGTGTGATTTAGATAGGCTGGCTAAATGGGCAAATGCATAGCAGGTGCAGTATAATGTGGATAAAAGTGAAGTTATCACTTTGGTAACAAAAGTAGGAAGGTAGATTATTATTTGGATCACTGTTAATTGAGAGAGGGGAACATTCAATGAGACCTGGGTGCCCTTGTGCACCAGTCGCTGAAAGTAAGCCTGCAGGTGCAGCAGAGAGTAAAGAAGGCAAACTGTATGTTGGCCTTCATAGTGAGAGGATCTGAGTGCAAGAACAAGGATGTCTTGCTGCAATTGTACAGGGCATTGGTGAGGCCACACCTGGAATACGTTAACTCTCGTGGTCTGCCATTTCTTGATAACTTACTTAGACTTATCCATGGTAAACATACATCATACCACGAGATTGTTGCAGCCTCATATATATACTTCTAGAATATAATCTACTGGTTGTGTTAGCTAGGATACCAATCAGTTTTAAGCAGCAAAGTATTGCACTCACGCTGGCAACACCACATAAATGTTATGCATAAGAACAGGGATAGCCTTTATATTGCAAGTCAAAGCTCTTTAGGGGAGGAAACTGCCATCCTTACCTGGTCTTGGCCTATATGTGACTCCAGACCCACAGCAAAGTGGTTTAGTCTTAACTGCCCTCTAGACAATTAAGGATGGGTAATTAATGCTGGCCTAGCTACCGACACCTTCACCCAGGAATGAATTTTGAAAAAAGGAAATAATTGGAGATGATCCACCAATGCAAATCTGTGACCTTACCATCTATATAATAAGCACAATTAATGTAAAAGATTAGATTAGCTGGAAAAAAATACACTCTGGCTTACTCCAAAATCTGGAAAATCTTTACGCAGATCATGCATGGTACAATGAGGTGAGGGATAAATATCCATGCATTCACTTGCACGTTCACTTTATCGTTTTTCAAGATTTACTGTTTCAACTCTTCCAAAGATAAAGCAGAGAACCTATGTAGAAATTCACTCCAGTGCATATAAACTTGCAAATGTACCATATACCTGTGCCCTAAATTCCAGCAGTTATCCACTTGTATGTAACTTGTAGAACCTAGGTAAAGTGTAATTATTTAAAACAGTTACGTTGTCTCATTTAAGTGAGTATTACTTCAATGTCTTAGATAAATTGCTTATATTGGCAGATGTTAACACCCTTATTCTTGAATTTATGATGTAAATTAGTTTTCTAGAACACTGGGATGCTCTTCAATACATGCTCTTGCTGTTATGTCTAATTATTACTATACTTACTGGATGATTCAGAGTGGCTAACTCATACAGGACACATCCGAGAGACCAAATATCACTAAAAAAATAAAACGGTTACACATACATGAAGGCAAACAATAATATTGAGGTGTAAATAGTTGTGATTAGATTATGCCTCTTTTTTATAGATTTAAGCATAATTATGAATTATTACGAAGATTTTCACAAAGCTTGACTTTCATACACATTTTAAAATATGAAAATATAGAATTGGGCAAAACACTGGTCAGCTTATAATTAAAATTGTCTCTCCCTTCAAAACATATTCTGTTTAAATATGCTTTACCCTAGTCAAAAAGACACGGGGCATTTAAAAGACATTGTATCATCTTTGCAAACTAATACTACAGCTTCTGCCTATACCCTGATCCTTATGCTCTCAATTAAGCAGGTTCTATTTAAATTCATGCTATATGAAGAATAAAACACTTAACAGAGAGAGAGGATTTAAATGACTCATTATCTTTACATTTGCATTTTGTGACAAGTTTCAAGCCAAAAATATTGTCTTCAAAATGACTCAGCAAACTGAAATGCCTATTTACACAGCAATCTTTTCATACAAGAAGGATTTCTACACCAAGGATAATTTTCTGACTAGATTAAAGGAAGACAATAGGGTAGTTGTAACATCACAGGACTAATACTCCCAAAGTAATACCATGGGTTCAAATTCCATTATGGCAGATGGTGATATCTAAATTCAAATAATTAAACATCTGGAATCGGAAGCTGGTTTCAGTAATGGTGACCATGAAATTAAAAACCCATTTGCTTCACTAATGTCCTTTAAGGAAATAAACCTGCCACGTTTATCAGGTCTGGTCTCCATGTGACACCAGATTCACATGTAACGTGGTTGACTCTTAACTGTCCTCTGATGGCAAGCAAGCCACTCAGTTCATGGGCAATTGAGGATGGGCAACAAATGCTGTCAGGGCTATCATCTGAGGTTCCATTCTGGTGGACCCCACTCTCCGTTTTCCTGATTGATAGGATGGTCTCCATGTTCTGTAGGAAGCGTCAACACAGTTGGAAGTGGATGCCTCCATTCAAAGAATTTCAGATAGAAACATGAAAAATAGGTGCAGGAACAGGCCATTCAGCCCTTCAAGCCCGCACCACCATCAATATGATCATGGCTGATCATGCAATTTCAGTATCCCATTCCCGCTTTCTCTCTATACCCCTTGATCCCCTTAGCCATAACGGCCATGTCCAGCTGCCTCTTGAATATATCTAACAAACTTGCACCAACAGCTTTCTGTGGCAGAGAATTCCACAGGTTCAAAGCTTTCTGAATGAAGAAATCCTTCTTCATCTCAGTCCTAAGTGGCTTCCCCCTTATTCTTAGACTATGGCTCCTAGTTCTGGACTTTCCCAACATCAGGAACATTCTTCCCACATCCAACCTATCCAGTCCCATCAGGATTTTCAATGTTTCCATGAGATCCCACCTCATTCTTCTAAGTTCCAGCAAGTACAAGCCCAGTCGATCCAGGCTTCCTTCAAATGACAGTCCTGCCATCCTGGTAATCAATTTGGTGAAATTTCACTGGATTCCCTCAATAGTAAGTACGTTCTTCCTCAGACTAGGAGACCAAAACTGCACATAATACTCAATGTGTGGCCTCACCAAGGTCCTGTATAACTGCAGAAAGGCATCCTTACTCCAATACTCAAATCCTCTCGCTATGAAGGCCAGCATGCCATTAGCTATCCTCACCACCTGCTGCACCTGCATGCCAACCTTCAGTGACTGTTCCACCATGACACCCAGGTCTTGTTGTATCTCATCTTTTCTTAACCTGCCACCATTCAGATAATAATCTGCCTTCCTGTTTTTGCAACTAAAGTGGATAACCTCACATTTGTCCACATTATATTGCATTTGCCAAGTATTTCCCCACTGAGCCAGTCTGTCCAAGTCACCCTGCAGCTTCGTATCATCCTCCTCAAAGCACACACTGCCACCCAGCTTAGTGTCGTCGATTATTAGAACTTGCTGAATATCAGACCATTTAAATTTAAATGTCAGTCACATACAATAAGATAGCATTGAATATGAATTGATTCTCTCTCAAGCCTATAATTGTTGAAGCCTAAAATGCTGTATAGGCATTTAAACTGCAGTCAGTCATTTTTCTTAGTCTTGAGTGACTGAGTTTAAGTGAATGTGTACCCAACCAAAATTAGACACAAAGTATGGGTTGTGCTACAAAGCACTACAAAAATGCAACAGGCTGTTTAAAACAAATTTACACTCACGTTTTGTTATTGTATGGTTGGTTCGCACATATCTCAGGGGATAAATAGTATGGCGTTCCTATACGTGTATGTGCTAACTCCATGGTACTAGAAGAATAAAAGAGAAAAGCAAATTAAAATAACAAAAAAAGCAACAAAATTATAAGATGCAAGCTAAAGTACTTGACATTTTCTAAACCATCCTGAACTCTGGTTGCATTTTAATGCATTGTATGTCTCTTAAGACTAAAACATTATGTTGAAGTAGTTAGCATTTTAATTGATTTAAAACACACACAATATTTTTGAATAATGACCAGCTTTATTTGACTCACATCTGACTTAATAGTTAACCACCCACCACACCCGCGCCCCCCCAAAAGAAAAGGACGTACAATAACTTCAGATCTCATTGGTCCACTTCTGCTGGAAGTAAACTTTGAAATTGTAAGAGAAATTAAAAAGGAAATCTGAACATTTTTCTTATTCTTAAGTGGGTTTTCTTCATTCGCTATGATTAAGTCTTGACAAGTTGCCCCCATTCTACTGTTATGCAAACTAAAGAACTATAACAGTAGGGAAGTATTGTTGCTATTGTGCAAGGAATTGATGAAACTGTATATGGAATACTCTGTACCGTTTTGGTGCCCTTACTTGAGGAAGGATTTAATTGCATTGGATAAAGTTCAGAGAAGGTTTACTAGATTAATTCCAGAAATGAAAGGCTTGTATTATGAAGACAGATTGAGCAGTTAAAACCTATAGTCACTAAAGTTTGGAAGGATGAGTGGAGATCTAATTGAGGTATTTAAGATACTAAAGGGGGTTAACAAAGTAGATATAAAGCAGATGTTTCTCCTTGTGAGGGAGTCTAGAATGGCAGGTCATAGTCTTAGGCTAAGGGGTAGCAGATTTAAAACAGCAATAAGGAGGAATTCACTCAGATATAGTAGGAACTGCCGATGCTGGAGTCTAGGATAACAAGGTGCGGAGCTGGATGAACACAGCAGGCCAGACAACATCAGAGGAGCAGGAAAGCTGACGTTTCGGGTCTGGACCCTTCTTCAGAAATGGGGGAGGGGAAGGAGGAATTACTTCTCTCGAACTTGACACATTTATGACTCCAGAGTGCATTAAACTCTGGGACACGGAACAAATTTAAGGAGGAGATAGACAGGTTTTTAATTAGTAATGGGTTAAAGGGTTATGGGGACTGGACGGAAAAGTGGAGTTGAGGCCAAGATGAGGTCACCTATGATCATATCAAATGGCAGAGCAGGCCCTAGGGGCTGAATTACCTACTCTTGCTCCTGGTTCTTAGATTCTAAAGCAAAAACTTACTGGAAACCTGATTATGGAAGTAAAGAAAAATTGGCGAGATCAGGAAATAATTTAACGGTTGTGGCGGACAACATAGCCCCTGGCCTGAAAACCAGTAGCAACCTTACCACAGACAGATCCAGTGGAGCTGATGTGATTCTGCTGCTTATCATGATATGTGTCCTCCCGTGGAATCAAAGCCAATGAAGGGTGAAAGGTTCTGTCATTGAGAGTTGGTGGTTATTTACAGGCTGGCAGCACTCCCCAGCAATATCATCAGGGAACCGGGAAGGGGTGATCACTGGTAAGGGATGAAGGGAGGTTAACAATCAGGCCGTAGAGGATGTGAGGATAATCTTCCACAGACTTCTTCCTCCCAGATGGTAGAGCACTTCATCTGGTGCACAGTGCCTGAGAATGAGGGACCAGCCAGCACCAAACTACGCCAAAGGCCATCTGTTTGCTTTATGGCTGCCCACAAAGTAAGCCCGCATTGTCCTACCTGCTGCTGATTAAGTTCCACAAACAGTGGAATCAGAGTCTTAATTGGTTACTTAAGAGCTCCGGGTGGGAATATTCCCTCCATGCTTCCTGCCCGGAGCTGGACCTGCAGGAGTCAGGAAGATAGTGGGATCTCCAACTCCCACTCATTTTCTCCCACCTCTGAACAAAACCTCCATGGAGGGACCATTAAATTCTATCCTTAAATAAATAATTGTGATTGAGATGGGCATGGATTCGAGAAATAACGTTATGATCAGGAGTTTTGGAGGGGAAAATGGGTATTGTGGCTTTTTATTTCCAGAAGTTGGCACTGATGGGTGTTTTAAAAAGGCCAGGAACTGCACTGAGGAGAGGAATCCACCAATACACTAAGTACTGTTGTGTAAGGCCTTTAGAGCCCTGGAGAAATGTGTTGATGATGACACAATGCTGCTCCCAACTGGACTTAAATAGCACAGTGTGGGCAAAGGTTATTACATTTGGAGAGAGAAGCATATGTGAAATATATTCTTAATAATCTAACAGTTAGCTTAGAGCCTGATATATCTCAGATTACTATGTATATTTGTACTTAGTATTAATGAGCAACAGATGTTCTAAGGAAGTCTAAACCTAAAGACAAATCTGTCATAAACTCAAACTCCTGGATGTGGGCATAAAACCATATGACAAAAGGAGAACAATCAATTCTACTGTCACGATCACCATGAGGAAGCAATATATTTATTTGTATATCCAAAGTGCAAGAAACCCAGCACCCCATAAAATCCAATTCAATATTACAGCTTTGCAAAATTTGCAGAAACTGTGTATGATATAATCTTAAAATAGAACCAACTTTGCAGCAGGATAAATTATAATGAGGACAATAAGAAAGACAAAGATAGATTACTGGAGTTTGCAATAAAATATCATAAAAACATAGCCAGGCAACAGAATAAAAATGGTAGTCTGTAGTTTAGCAACATTTCCTTGCTGATACTGAGAGTTTTAATGTAAAAAGAGCCTATTATGAGCCATTTGTTTAAAAGCTTCTGCGTTACAGATATTCAATGCAATTCATGAGTGCAACATGGTTGTCAGCCATAGTTACAGAATCAGTTCAAACTCTGTGCTGCTTCTTCTGGGAGGTCCTACATGATACACTAGTAGGTCAGAGGCTAGGAATAGTGCGGTGAGTAACTCACTTCCTGACTCTCCAAAACCTGTCTACATTCTACTAGACACAAGACAGGAGTGTGACGGAGTACTCCCCATTTGCCTGGATGAGTGCAGCCCCAACATTCGAGAAGCTTGACAAAGCTTGTCCATCGAGGACAAAGCAGCCCGCTTGATTGGCATGACATCCACAAGCATCCCCTCCCCCCACCACCAATGTTCAGCAGCAGCCGTGTTTACTATCTACAAGGTGCACTGCAAAAATTCAACAAAGATACTCAGACAGCACCTTCCAAACCCATAACCACTTCCATCTAGAAGGACAAGGGCAGCAGAGATATGGGAACACCACCACCTTCAAGTTCCCCTCCAAGCCACTCACCGTTCTGACTTGGAAATATATTGCCATTCCTTCACTGTTGCTGGGTCAAAATCCTGGAAATCCTGGCCCACCAATGGTATTGTGGATCAACCCACAGCAGGTGGACTGCAGTGGTTCAAGAAGGCAGCTCACCATCAGCTTCTCAAGGGCAACTAGGGATACGCAACAAATGCTGTCCAGCCAGCAATGCCCACATCCCACAAATGAATATTTTATTTTAAATTCTGAGATAATCAGGCACTTCCCCGCAGAGTGTTGGACCTCCCACTCAATTAGGAACCCACTAGGATTGGCATTCCGCTGAGATAACCAGTACTTGCAGCACGATTGAGAGCAGTGGCCACAGCTGGTATTTCTTTGGATCTGCAGGAGGTTTGGCCATGGTTCCCCAGACCTACATGAGTGGAGGTGGGGTACAGGTCACAGACTCGGTGGAGGTAGGGAGTAGTTGTAGAGACAGAGGTGGGAGAAGGTGGAGAGGCAATGGAGGTAAGGGACATGGGTGTCACAAAGGGCATTTTGTCCATAATCCCTTACGCATACTTGTAAAATTCTTGACACATCGTCCTGAAAAATCGTATTGGGTCATGATTTAATTTTTTTCTTTTCAGGGAGTAGTCCTGACCTTTCCAAATGCTTCACATAACGGAGAAGTCCTTCATTCCTGGTAACATCATAGTAAACCTTTTCTTACCGGTTAACTTGCTTAAAAGCCCGTGCTTTAATGCTTTTAGTTAATGGAAACTTACTTGTTCAACATTCGTGCAATTCCAAAGTCTCCAAGTTTTACAGTTACTCCTTTATTACAAAGGAAAATGTTCTATGGATAAAAATATATTCCATTTTATTCACCACACTAAACACAGTAGCTTAAATTCCCATTAACAACCATGGCTTTTGGTCTTAGCAAACTATGGTAATGTTTTCCATGTTCAAAACTACTGTTTATTCTTGATATGAAATTGAATTGAGTTTTTGCAGAGTGCTAAAAAATTATTTAATGAGACTGCATAACATATCACTATATAGCAGCAAATTATTAACATATATTAGGGTAAAGAAAGGAACGTTATACTGTAGTTCAGTTCACTGGAATTCCATGAAGTGTCAGAATACAGCAAAGAGACATTGAACAATGGTTAAATACTCTACCAAGAGGAAGAATACATAGTCTCTGGACAGCTCTTGCAGACTTACTGGTGTCACTAAGGATTTCTCAGCATGAGGAAATGACAAGTGCAAGAAAAATGTGGAAAGAAGGAAAGTAAACTAAATCATCAAAACTTCATAAAGACAAATGCTCAAAGGTTTAGAAACATGCAAAGGTACAAGAGACCGATAAATAAAGCAGCTGGCAACCAGCCACAGCTTGTGTGAAGAAATCCTCTCATCTGTCTCCTTAAACTTATCTTCTGACTTCAACTCTGATGGCACATGTAGTTGGTCTCAAAATATGCACAACTATCTGAGAAAGTTAATTTAATGCCTAGATGAACCTTAGAGTGCAAAGTATACGTTTCACAATACTTTAACCAAGAATGTAAATTTATGTGCCAAAAGAAACAATAAAAAAGTAGAAAAAATGCAAATGACAGAAATTGGTATTAATAACAGCGAGCAGGGTACAGTAAAAAGAAGTTACAATATCAATATCTACCAGCATAAAGGACTATATACCATTCACAAAGAACAGACAAGTGAACAACAAGTGCAGGAGTCCCTACAAAGTTAGAATTTCTAAAAATTTGGAAATCCCTCACTAGGTTAATAATAAACCATGAGATACACAATAGCATGGTGTTAATTTAATGTACGGACTTTTATTAATTTCAGATATATTGCCATGCTCGCAGAAATTTAATCAACTTCAGTCCAAATGGTTTCAGTATATCAATAATATTTCAAAACGACTGTGAACAATTCAGCACCCGAGCCTTTTAAGTAGACTGTACCCGGTTATATGGTTTAAAATAATATCAGTATTTAAAACCACAAAATGGTTGGAATGTAAAATGTTCTTGACAACACCAAAAAATGCAGATTTTATTCCAAAACAACTAAATATGTCTAATTATTATTATTTCAAAGCTAGTTTTTTGCCCCTCCAACATTTACCTGTGTTTTGATATCTCTGTGCAGGATCTTTCTGTCATGAATGTGTTTCAGCCCTAAGCAAATTTGCACAAACCAGTCCAAAACCTAAAAAAGGGTTATGGAATGTCAGCCATACATTTTTGAGTATAAAGCAATTAATTACGAAAACCAACAGCTCAAGATTAACATTTAAAACACACAGCTCCCAGGCACAACATGGCATGTTCGCAGTCATTGTAATTTTAGTAAAGCATAAATATAGCTCCCGTTAAGGACAGGTGACACCCTACTTAACATTCAGAAGTTGCAGTCCAATAACATCTTGGGTGCATTCACTTAAAATCAAAGTGTGTCCTGCATTGACTGCACCCCAGCAACAGAATCATTACAGGAAGAGTCAAGACAAGCTTTTTACACTTACCTTCCTCAGAACTCTTTGTGTGCCCAGTCTCCCCTTATTGCCAGAGAACTCCCAACCACAACATTCCCCATAGATCACCTTCAGCTTTGATTTCCACTGACAATGCAAACTCTTGCTAACTTTTGTTCCCACTGATGTCAACTGGGACTCTGAAAATGTTTATAATGATGCGCTGCTGCTAAATTCAATAAGGCCTCCAGATTTTCTGACAATCTAGTTGCACCCAAACCTTGAGCCTCACACATACATTATTCACTAAAATCAAGCTCAAGGATTTACTAATGCTTGGACAAGTACAACATGTATTTGTCCTTAATATATTAAAACATCCCAAAGCATTCCCTACAAAAAAGCACAGGTCAAAATTAGAGGAAGAGTGAGATACTTTATCAAATACTTGGCTGAAAAAAGAAGCAAACCAGAAAGATATTTAGAAATGGAGCTCCACAGGGTAGAAAAGGCTGAATGCTCCTGAACAAAAACAGAAATTGCTGGAGAAACTCAGTGGATCTGGCAGAATTTCTGAAGAGAAAGCAGTTTTGGGTCCAGTGACCTTTCTTCAGAAAGTTCTGAAGCTGTGCCATGAAATGTTGGAAAAGACTGCAGTGATTTTTTTAACAAATCACAGGGGCTTATAGAATCACAGAGTCATACAGCATGGAAACAACCCTTCAGCCCAACTCATCCATGCCAACAAGGTTTTCCAAACTAAACTAGTCCCACTTGTCGGTGTTTGGCTCCTATGCTTCTAAACCTTTCCTATTCAGGTACCTGTCCAAATGTCTTTGAAATGTTGTAACTGTACCTGCATCTACCAATTGAGAGTTCATTTCACATATGAACCACTGTCTGTGTGAAAAGGTTGTCCCTCAGGTCCCTTTTAAATCCTTTTCCTCTCACCTTAAAAATATGCCCCCTACTTTTGAACTCCCCCATCCTAGGGAAAAGACCTTTGCTATTCACCTTATCTGTGCCGCTCGTGATTTTATAAACCTCTATAAGGTCACCCCTCCACCTCTACGCTCCAGTGAAAAATGTCCCTACCTATCCAGCCTCTCTTCAAACTCTCCAGTCCCCATAAATTCCTTGTAAATCTTTACTGCTCCCTTTCCAATTTAGTAATCCTTCCTATAGCAGGGCAACTAGAACTGTATTCCCAAAGTGGCCTCACCAATGTCCTGTACTACTGCAACATGATGTCCAAATTCCTATACTCAATGGTCTGAGCAATAAAGGCATTTATTTGTAAGCAAGGATAAATGATTTTGTTTTTAATACATTGTAACTGCAACCCATTGGGGGTGGTAAGGCCAAAGTGATGGAAACAGAATTTAGTGCAAGAAAAGGTGCCACCAACAGAGTTTAATATGAGTTAGAATTTGTTTCAGGTGCAGCTCAGAAAAATGATTTCTTTAAGTTAGCTATAGAAAGATCAAGAAATAAATCATCGTGAATAAATGTAAACTAGTTCCAAAATCCCACTGTCTATAATCTCCTGGCTAAACAATGAAGTAACAGTGTCTCAGCTGTCAGTGCCCAATAATGTAAACTCCATTCTAAGCTCCAAAAAGAAATAATTCACAAAGTTTGACGTAAAAAAAATGGTATATCAAGGAACAAAAATTGGTGTTCCATTCAGTTTAGTTAATTTAGTTCTTACCTGTTCCTCTGTAAAGTAAACTCCATGCTGCATGTTAATTCTGTGCATCAGGTCACCACCATCACAATATTCCATTACTATAAACAGGCTTTGCCCCTCTGTAAATGACAGCTCAATATTATTCCATTTGTGAATCATTCCGAAGTGTTATTTTTTACAGGTGAATCCTGTAAGCAAAAATACTTCTTTATATTTTTAAACAGGTTTTAAGAAAGCTTATAGCCAGCCCTTTCCAGTCCCAGATCATAGTTTTGACTTTAATTCTTGGCAATTTTTGTACCAGTTGTGGGAGCAGGAGTAGTTAAAAACTCAACTGCTATAAAAGAAAACTGTCCCAGTATTTCTAACTCCGAGACCTCTTAAATATTTTACCAACAGGAGATGACTGTTATCCTGTCACAAAACGGGCAGCTAATGCCCATAATAAGTAGGAATAGGAGTAGGCCATTCAGCCCTTTGAGCCTGCTCCACCATTCAACAGGATCACAGCTAATCCAAAATTCTTCATTATATCTAGTTTCGACACTCTTGATCCTACTGAGCAAGAATCTATCTATCTCAGCCTTAAATATACACAAAACGTCCGCCCGCAGCTCTCTGAGGCAAGAAGTTCCAAAGACATTGATTGTATTGTCTATCAGTATGAAGATATGTTGAAGGAGATTTCTGGAGGGATTTATGAGGTGGATGGCAGGGCCAGGATTTAGGGCATGGAAGACCAATACTTTCCTTGCATTGATCACCTGGTCTTTCTTTATAAGAAAGTGACAATACTGAACTTGACAAAACCCAGGACTCCCTGAAGTGTCAGCCTAGATTATGTGTGACTTCCATAACATCGGAGTCATTAGTTTTTATTTTTAATGTAACCCTTTAAGGACTCTGAGTTAGCTCTACCTCCTAATATCAGCTTGCTGCAAAGGAAAATAGGAGAGAAGAGATAGTGTTAAGTGCTAGCTCTGTCCAGATTTCAGAGTTGGGCAGTTGAGGCACAGAGCTAAGTAGAATAGGAAATTTTCTGAGGAACAGAATTACAGTGATATGGATTGCAGGTATCTTTCTGGACTTGTATTCTGTTGGTTGACTAAGTCAAACCAGCAGACAACTAAAATTCTGCAGTATTTGGCATTTCTATCAGACAAAGACCTTCAAATGAGTCCAAATATTTAACAATGTTGGGGTGCTTCATTTTGTCCATCAGTGTCACTTCTTTAAGGGCAGCTTCTCTTTCTTTCTGGTGCACCTGAAAATAAACACAAAAAAGGAAATCTGTAGAAAGTAATAATCAGCAGGCCAGGCAGCATCTGTGGAGATTAAAATAGAGTTACTATATCAGGTTGTTGGTCTTTCGTCAGAATTGGCAAAGGTTAGAGGAGTAACAGGTTTTAAACAAGTAAAGGTAAAGTCGCCATAGTCTTACTAGGCCTTAGGGCTGTCCTCTCACTGGAGAGAAATGACTGGTGGTGGTTTAACCTGAGGCTCATCATGCCTTAGATAAGGGGAGAGTCCTTCATGGAAACCTCAGCCCGTGCAGGAATTGAAACTATGCTGGAGGCATTGCTGTGAATCACAAAGCAGCTGTCCAGCTAACTGAGTTAACTGATCCCCAATTTAAGCAAATATGGAGACAAGGGGAAGAAAGAACAAAATGATAGGTCTATCATAGAGTAGACACAATTACTAAAAGACAAAAATGAATAAAAGGCAAGTCAAAAGGTACTGATAATGGCAGAAGAGTTAAAATATCAGCCTAGAGGAGCTGTAAATGCTAACAGAACTAACACCAACAACAGGCATCCATAAAAATGGAAGTGATAATGATCTGATATTGTCAAACTCATTGATAAATCTTCAAGGTTATAAACTGCTAATTTGAAAGATGAGTTACTATTCCTTGAGCTTTTGTGCAGTTTAATTGGTGCTAGAGGCTTAGGATAAAGGGGACAGACTGGGATCGGAAAGGGGAACTAAAAATTCAAGAAGAGAGCTCACTGCCACTGCCTTTTTGAAGGCAATTAGGGATGTGCAATAAATACCGGCCTTGGCAGCACATCCCTTGAACAAATTATAAAAGCTACATTATTTTCAAATAAGTACAAATGAATGCCATTTCTCCTGGGAGGAATGTTTGAGATCCTGAGCAGTGGGAAGGTGAAAGTGAATGGTAGGTAATGCATCTCCTGCATTTACATGAAAAGGTGTGTGGGATGGGGATGATTTTGGAGATCATGAGGTTGTCAAAAGGACAGTCTTTCCAGGGAAAGAGACAAAAATATTTTTTTACTAGTGGTATTGCCCTAGAGGCAGAAATAATGGTGGATGCTCCAATGAATATAAAATCTGGTAGCGTGGAATGTCAGGACAAAGGGAAGCCCTGTTGAGGTTCTGGGAGGGAGAGTTAAGAGTAAAAGTGTAACTACTGTGATGACCGCTAAATTTGGTGAAAAGAAAAGAAAAGAATTCTTAATTTAAATAAATGGGAGCCGAATTGGAAGCACTGACGTTAAACACAGCATTATCAAAAAGACTGCAACTGAGGCAGTGAAAATGGAAGAATAGAACAGAGTCAATATTTTATTTAGAAGGTCAAAAATCACATGACACCAGGTTATAGTCCAATTTCTGTGGATAGACTGGCCACTAATATCCATTACAAACCCACTGACTCCCACAGCTACCTGGACTATACATCCTCACACCCCACTTCATGTAAAGACTCCATCCCACTCCATCCCATTCTCTCAGTTCCTCTGTCTCCGTCGCATATGTTCAGATGAGGCTAACTTCGACAAGGGAGCCTCCGAAATGTCCACCTTCTTCCTCAACCAAGGGTTCCCCAGCTCCGTTGTCGACAGGGCCCTCAACCGGGTCCGTCCCATCTCCTGCACTTCCGCCCTCACCCCTTCTCTTCCCTCCCACAACAGTGATAGGGTTCCCCTTATCCTCACCTACCATCCCACCAGCATCCACATCCAGAAGATTATCAGACGCCATTTCCGCCACCTCCAGCAAGATGCCACCACCAGACACATATTCCCCTCCCCTCCCTTGTCCACCTTCCGCAGGGACCGTTCCCTCTGGGACACCCTCGTCCACACTTCCTTCACCCCCAGCACCTCCCCACAGTCCCACGGCACTTTCCCCTATAACCGGCGAAGCTGCAACACCTGCACATTTACCTCCTCCCTCCCCAGTATCCAAGGGCCCAAACATACCTTCCAGGTGAAGCAACACTTCACCTGCACTTCCCAGAATCTAGTCCACTGCATTTGGTGCTCACAATGTGGTCTCCTCTACATTGAGGAAAGGAAGCGTAGACTTGGAGACCGCTTCGCAGAACATCTACATTCTGCTCGCAAAAAAGACCCTGAACTACCTGTTGCCTGCCACTTCAATGCACCACCTTGCTCCCTGGCCAACATCTCTGTCTCTGTTCCAGTGAAGCCCAACGCAAGCTGGAGGAACAACACCTCATTTTCCCCTTGGGGACCCTACAGCCCTCCGGACTCAATATTGAGTTCAATAATTTTAGGGCCTAAACTCTCCTATGTCCCAGCCCCCCGCCCCACACACCAGGCCTTGTTAACACATAGCCTGCCGTTACACACCCACTGTTGTTAGTTACTAACAGTCCCCATAAACAACTACTCACCCTCCCAGCCTGATCGTTAGCAACTCCTTTGTCTGTCCAACTGTCTTTCTCTCTCTTTGGGCTCTATCCTATCGTTTACTCCCCACCCCACCCACCTCCCTATTTTCTGCATATAAACTGACGTTTTCCCAGCCACCATCAGTTCTGAGGAAGGGTCATTGGACCCGAAACATTAACTCTGTTTTCTCCTTCACAGAAGCTGTCAGACCTGCTGAGCTTTTCCAGCAACTTTGTTTTTATAGTCCAACAGGTTTATTTGAAGACACAAGCTTTCGGAGTCTCACTCATTCTTCAGGTGTCAAGGCAGAGAAGATAAGAAAGAACAGGAAATTATAGGTCAGTTAGTTTAACAGCTCTTTTTGGGAAAATGCTAAAATATTATGAAGGTCAGGCAGCATCAGAGGAGTAGGAAAGTCAACGTTTTGGGTTAGGAGTTCTGAAGGAGGGTCCTGATCAGAAATGTCGACTTTCCTACTCTGATGCTGCCTGACCTGCTGTGTTCCTCCTGCTCCACACTGTGTTAACTCTGACTCCAGCATCAGCAGTTCTTGGTATCTCAAAATATTATTAAGGATGTGATTGCAGAGCATTTAGAAATGCATAATATGATCAAGCAGAGTCAGTATGGCTTCATGAAGTGGAATTTGTGCTTGACAAATTTACTAGAATTCTTTAAGGAAGTACCAAGCAGGATAAAAGGGAAGCAATTGACGTAACTTTTTTGGATTTTTAGAAGGTGTTTGATAAGTATCACATTTTTGGCTTTTCAATAAAGAAAAGAACCCATGGTATTGGAGGCAGTACATTTGTATTGATAGAGGATTGGCTCATTGATAGAAGACAGAGAGTTGGGATAAGGGGAAGCATTTTCATGATGGCAACCTGTAACTAGTGGTGTACCACAGGGACCAGTTATAGGGGCATAATTATTTACAATATATTAATACCTTGGATAAGGGAAATGAATGTACTATCATCAAGTTTGTGGATGACACAAAATTAGACAGATAGGCAAGTGAGGTTAGGAAAGTGGGTAAAGAAGTGGCAAATGGAATACAATGTGGGCAAGTGTGAGGTCATGTACTTTGGTAGGAAGAATAGAGGCATGGACTATTTTCTAAATGGCAGAAAATTCAGAAATCTGAAGTGCAAGGGGACTTGGGAGTCCTTGTCCAAGAATCTCTTAAGGTTAACTTGCAGGTTGAGTCAGTAGTTAAGAAGGCAAATGCAATGCTGGCAATTATTTCGAGAGGACTAGAATATAAAAGCAGGAATGTACTTCTGAGGCTTTATAAGTGTCTGGTCAGACCACATTTAGAATATTGTGAGCATGGGCCCCATATCTGAGGAAGGATGTAATAGCCTTGGACCGGGTCCAGAGGAGGTCACAAGAATGATCCCAGGAATGAAAGGCTTAACATATGAGGAACGTTTGAGGACTCCGGGTCTATACTCGATGAAGTTTAGAAGGATGAGAGGGAATTGAATTGAAAACTTTACAGAATACTGAAAGACCTGGATAGAGTGGACATTGGGAAGATGTTTCCATTAGCAGGAGAGACTATGACCCGAGGGCACAGCCTTAAAGTAAAGGGAAGACCCTTTAGAACGGAAGTGAGGAGAAACTTCTTCAGCCAGAGAGTGGTGAATCTATGGAATTCATTGCTACAGAAGGCTGTGGAAGCCAGGTCATTGAGTATATTTAAGACAGAGATAGATAGGTTCTTGGTTGTTAAGGGGATCAAAGGTTACAGGAAGAAGGTGGGAGAATGGGGTTGAGAAACGTTTCACCCATGATTGAAATGGCAGAACAGACTCAATGGGCCGAATGGCCTAATTTCTGCTGCTATGACTTATGGTCTTATGATGACGATGATGCAAAGAGGCTGCAGAGGAATATACACAGGTTAAGTGAGTGGGCAAAAACTTAGCAGATGGAATATAATGGGAAAATGTGAGGAAGAATAGAGGAGCTGAACATTATTTAAAAAGAGAATGAGTGCAGCAAACTACAGAACAGATGTTTTTGGGAATCCTCTTCCATGAAACATAAAAAAGCTGCCATCCAAGTTCAGCAGGTAATAGGGATGGCAAAGGAATATTGGCCTTTATTTGAAAGGGAATGGAGGTTAATGTAAGGGGGAGTTACTAAAATTATGAAATGCACTAGTATGTGCATAATTGGAATTCTGTGAACAGTTATGGGCCCCTTATCTAAAGAAAGATACATCAGCATTGGAGGCAATTCAGAGAGTGTTCACTAGGCTGATACCAGGAAGGAAGGGTCCGTCTTATGAGGAAAGGTTGAGTAGATTGGGCCTCCACACTTTGGAACATAGGAGAAAGAGAGGCAACCTTACTGAAACATACAAGATTTTTACAAGACTTGACTGGGTAAATGTGGAAAAGTTGTTTCTCTTTGTGGGATAGTCTAGGAATGCAGTGCATAATCTCAAAATAACCTATCACACCTTTAAGACACAGATGAGGAAAATTTTTTTCTCTTTGAGAGTTGTGAATCTATGGCATTCTTTACCGCAGAAGGCTGTTGAGGCATGATTGTTAAGTATATTCCAGGTTGAAATAGACAGATTCTCAATCAGTAAGGGAATCGAGCATTATGGAGAAAAAAAGAAACAGGAAAGTGGAGTTGAGGATTCTCAAATGAGCCATGATCTCAGTGAATGGTGCAGCAGACTCAATGAGTTGAATAGTCCACTTCTGTTGCTATGTCTTATAGTCTTACATTTATGTAGGAGGAAGAATAATCAAGGTGACTGGGGGGCAGTGGTCTTATATTGGTTGATGGTTCATCCCCAGAAATAGAGATAGAGAAGGGAAGGCAGGAATGTATCAACTGAAGGCAACAGGGAAGTAGCAATTGGAAGAAATGTTTCTTAGTTCAGGGCAAGCACAGTACTCTACATCATTGCTACCAATAACGAATGAGAAAAAGAAATGAAGGCACGGACATATGCAGGTCTGGAACATAGGATGCTCCACATATCCCACAACATGGCAGACATAGTTAGTACCCAGATGGGTTCCCATTTGAAGGAAATGAGCGGAGTCAAGGGATTTGTGAAATATAAAAACATATTTGGCCAGACAGAGGGTGACAATAATGGATGAGGACTGGTTAGGCCACTTTACAAGGAGGAACTGGAAGGTCCATAGGCTGCCCTGGCAAAGAGTAAAGGTATAGAGGAAACTCATGGTGAAAAGAAGATGATTAGGGTTAGAAACCTGGTGAATAACAAGTTGCATGAACAACATGTTTGATACATTTTGTTGAAATAATTCCTTACAATTAAATTAATTCTTGTAAAAAGGAGACTAGAATTTGAATCTTTTTATCTTGCACTCATTAAAACTCCAATATAAGAAACAGATTTGAAAAAAGAGACCCCATTTTATGTAGAATGTAAAGTGGATGTTGATTGGTTGGGCCATAATTGGCGTGAAGATAAAGTAAGAACATTTAGCTGCCAACAGTTGGGGTCTTTTAGTGCAGTGATACTGTTCCTGCCTCTGAGCCAGAAGATCTAAGTTCAAATCCCACCTGCTCCGCAGATGCATAATAACACCTCTAAACTGGTTGATTTGAAAACTGATTAACTGTCAATCTTAATTCTCAGACTAGGGTGTAGCCATGGGGATGCAGCAGAGTATGGCTGTCTCCATAACCCTTTTGTTTTGTAAAGGTGCAATGTATTCACAAATTCCATTTATCTTTATAAAACAGGGTCCTGAGTATTTGTGTATGTAGCTTCTAGCACGCACAATGCATCACACAGCGGGCTCAGCTGATGATCTCGTACTTGTTTCTAGTGAATGTGATGTACTGTCAAGCCAAAAAGATGTTTTGCTTCCCACACAAATGAGTCATGTGATAAGTAAGTTTCAGTGCCAATGTGATGCCAGGTTTATACACTGCATATGTCACAAAAACCATATCAAACAACACTTCCCATTGACCATTTGCAGTGGGCAGCATGACAGATCATAGAGTCATACAGTCATACAGCACGGATACAGACTCTTTGGTCCAGCTCGTCCATGTCAACCAAGTTTCCCAAATTAAACTTGCCTACCTTTCCTATTCATGTACCTGTCCAAATGTCTTTTAAATGTAACTGTACCTGCATCTACCACTTCCTCTGGCAGTCGTTCCACATATGACCCACCCTCTGTGTAAAAAAGTTGTCCCTCAGGTCCTTCTTGAATCTTTTTCCTCTCACCTTAAAAATATGCACCCTGGTTTTGTACTCCCCCACCCTAGGGAAAAGACCTTTGCTATTCACCTTATCTATACCCCTGATAATTTTATAAACTTCTACAAGGACACCTCTCAAACTCCTACGCTCCAGAGAACAATGTTCCAGCCTATCTGGGCTCTCTCTATAACTCAAACCCTTCAGGCCTGGCAACAACCTGGTAAATCTTTTCTGAACCCTCCTCAATTTAATAATATCCTTCTAAAACACGGCAACCAGAACTGTACACAGTACTCCGAAAGTGGCCCAATGTCTTGTACAACCTCAACATAATGTCCCAACTCCTATATTCAATGGTCTGACCAATAAAATCCAGTTTGAATACAGGTGGAACAAGGGATAGGAGACAAATCACCGTCAGGAGGCTGGGCAGACATTTCAATAAAATATTGGAATGACATTCCTTTATTGTAACAGTGATTCTACTTTAATCACAGTGAACAGGATTTCCCTCAGTAGTGAAAAGAGGCTAAAGGGCTGAATCCATCAGATAAGAGAAATGAGATGGCAGTCCTATGCTGAGCATTTTCAGCATTTTCTGTTTTATTTCAGACTGCATCTTCAATATTCTCTTTTTACATGAGATATATGGCTTTACAACATTGCTTGTGGGCTGAGCTGTACCTGTCCTATCTTCTAATCCTAACAGGGGTTTACAGTTGAATACATGATCAGAACCTGGCACCTGGGACAGGATTCCTTAATTAATATCTGCTTTCCCTTGACCATCTATTCCTTCCACCCATTACCTTTACCCTGCAACACCATTTGCCCCTGTCTCCATCATAAGATGCTACCATAACTGTACCATCCCTCTCCATATCTACTGCCTCCTGATTTTGTGCTTTTGCACTGGACATACAGTGTCACTCAAGCTGCCTACAGGCAAGAAGTCTACAGAAAACAGTTACAAAATATCCTTCAGCTAAAACTGTAGCATGGTCAGAAGACACATTGCTGGGCTTCCTAAGTTCACACCACAATTACACCCAGATAACCCTCTTCCACTCACTCACTCAAACAGTGGAATGCACCTCACAGGTGACTTTGGGATGTAAGCAACCATTTCACTTCTGTAATCAAAAACTTAATGGATTTTCACTTCAATTAAAGAAATATTGATACTCATTATTTAAAGACAGATTGCAGTATCAGTATAAATGCACAAAAGTATTCTAGCCTTTATGTTTTCCATCTTCGTTTTCCAGATCCAAAATCTCTGTTCTCCTGATTCTAGCCTATGTAAACCTCTCCAGTTACCCCAACAATGGTAACCTTACTTTCAACCATCTCGCCCCCATGTTTAATATCCCTACACAAATACTCACTTTCATTCGCCTCCTCACTTTTTTATAAGCCTCACTGAAATTCGTTTACTGTGACCAAGCTTTCGGTCGCCCCTTCTATGAATGAACAAATGAACAAACAAATGAACTAATGAAAAAGTATAGCACAGGAACAGGCCCTTTGGCCCTCCAAGCCTGTGCTGACCATCATGTCCTAATTAATCTAAAAACAAACCTGCCATATTTTCAATCCATATCCCTCTATTCCCTCCCTATTCATGTACCCATCTAGGTGCCTCTTAAATGTCTTCAATGTGCCCGCTTCCACCACCTCTTCTAGTAGTGCATTCCAGGCTGCTACCAATCTCTACATGAAAAACGTCCCTCACACATCTCCCTTAAACTTTCCCCCCTCTGACCTTGAGCCTGTACCCCCTTGTAATTGAAACTTCAACCCTGGGAAAATGCCTCTGACTATCCACCCTATCTATGCCTCTCATAATTTTGTAGACCTCTAACAGGTCTCCTCTCAGCCGCCATCTTTCCAGTGAAAACAATCTCTCCATGGCTCACCATTTATTTTACGTCATGCCTCTGAGATGCACCTTACATTATTTTTCAACATTAAAGTGGCAACGCAACAGCAAGTTGTTGAGGATAACAATGATTATGATTAGGATCCACATCTGCTTTATGATTTTCATCAAGTTGCTGTTATCGTTTGGAAATCTGAAATGTTGATGAATTTTTTATATTGGAAGACACTTTCCCCATTCACTAGGCAGCTTGCTGGCATTCTCCACTTCAGGTTTGATACCAAATTGGACACCAATCCTCTTTTGATTCTTCATACATTGAATAATCAAATCTTACCAATCAATCATGGACTAGGAAGTATCAAGTGATTATTCATGATAAATCCACTCCTTATCATTTTAATCATGGATCACTATATAATTGTAGAGAATTTTATTATCATTTCAATAAACTCTATTAAATAAGAAAGTTTTTTTCTGTGAACACAAAATACAAACGGCTGTAAAAATGTCTGTTATTAAGAACATTAAACAATTTACTTGCCTAACAAAAAACAATAAAATGTAGCTAAATATTTACATATCAGAAATCTACTGAGGTTTGCATACAATATAATCCAATAGAAATAGACTTCTTTTCAATCTCAACCTCACCTTTGCAGTTTTAATTTCTTTTACTACAACGTGCTTGTTGTTGTCTTTAGCTTTCACTAAGAAAGCTTTTCCAAATGCTCCTTCTCCAAGGAGTTTAATGACTTCATATTTATCCATTGTGGCAGTTAATCTTCAAGAGATCTGAAATAGAAAAATATACTTTTCTACTAATAAACTGACTTTCAAAACATTTTTTCCTGCAAACTTTGCATGTTATAATTGACACAAAATTGTGGTGTGGCTTGGATGATAAATTGCATGCACTTTTTTGGGAGACAGGCTCATATCACTTCAGATTGTTCCAGGCCACAATAAAACCCGATATGTTACAGTCAGAATTTTATGAAACTCCTAGGCCAACCGGATAGCAGCTATTAAATTTTCAACATAATTTTTACATAAGTTTGTTTTCAGAAATGTCCCAGAAAGACTATGACCCAATTTTTGCCAACAATCAAACATAATTCTGACTTAAGCTGGTCAGTGATTAAAGCTCTGCAGAGACATGTAAGCTAGATTGCACAAAGCTCATTTTGCCATAATTGCGAGGAGGGTGAAATTTGTTTTGGACAGACAGCTGTGTTAAATAAACACTGAAAAATCACAGCTGTTTTTGCACTCTAAGCAATATTATTTTTCTGTTAAAAACCATAAGAACTGCGGATGCTGTAAATCAGGAAGAAAAACTGAAGTTGCTGGAAAAGCTCAGCAGGTCAGGCAATTTTATATTGACTTGAACAATGAACTAGACCAGGTATAAAGCAGGCTACTCATTTTCTATTGGGCACTTACCTCCAAAAGCCTATTGGAACTGTTATCCTTGTAAACGGATACCCATCCATGTATAGGCAATATTATTCACAGGACAAAACGTTAGCCTAAGAGTAATGACTGTCAATTCTCATAAAACTCATCTGTTCACTAATGTTCTGTGAGGCAAGTGAACCAAAGACTGTCTACTTCTTATTTTTAATAATCTACCTATACTTAATGACCCTGCCTCCACTACCATCTGAGGCACAACCCTCAAGTTGCACAACCTCTGAGAGTAAAGAAAATCACCTCATTTCTGTCCTATATGGCAATCCTTAATGTTAAAACAGTGTCCTCTAGTTCAAGACTCATGAAAAGAGGAATTATCCTTTCCACATCTCTCTTGCAAAGACCATTCAGGACCTTAAACATCAATCAAAACACCCTTCACTCTTCTAAACTACAATAGGGTCAAACCCACCCTGTCCAATCTTTCCTCATAAGATTCCAGGTATCAATCAGTAAACCTCCTCTGAACTATTTGCATCCTTCCTTAAATAAGGAGACCAAAACAGCTCATAGTAATCTTGTTTCAACAATGTCCTGTACAAAAGAAGCATAATATTTCTACTGTTATGTTCAATTCCTCTTGTAATAAAGGATAGCATCCCATATGGCTTCCTGATAATTTGCTATTTCTGCATACTAATGGTTTATGATTCGTGAACTAGAACATCTAGATATTTAAGAATCTCAGAATTCTGTAGAAATTTTCCAATTAAATAATACTGTTTTTTCATTCTTTCTGCCCACGTGAACAACTTGCATTTTCATACTCACATTAAAGTCTACTTGCCTATTTTTGCCGACTTGCTTAACTTATCAATATTGGTCTGCATCCTTGTCACACCATCTTCATAACTTTCTTTCATATACTTTCATTATCTGCAAATTTAGCCAACATGCCTGCATTCCCTCATCTAAATCATTGATACAAATTGTAAAAATTGAGAACTCAGCGTAGACTCTTAAGGTATCTCACTCGTCATGTCCTGCCACTCTGAAAAAGACCAATTCATGCAAACTCTGTTTAAGCTAGTCAGCCAAAATTCCATCCATGATAGCATGTTATCCTCTATGCCATGAGCTCCTACTATGCACTATAATCTCTTATGCGGCATCTTGTTAAATACCTTCTGGAAATCCAAATACAGTACATCAATGTACTCCACTTTACCCACTGTGCAGATTACTGCTTCAAGGAATTCCAATAAATTGCTTAAATGCAATTTCCCTATCACAAAACTATGCTGACTCTTCCCAAATATCTTGAGTTGTTCCATGTGCCCAGTTACAATCTCCTCAGTTATTGATTCTAACACTTACCCAATGATAGATGTCATGTTAAATGGCCTATAGAGTCCTTTTTCCTACCTCCCGCAATGTTTTACATGTGCTACTTTCCCGTATGATAGAACCTTTCTAGAATCCAACAAATTTTGGGAAGTTATCACCAATGTACCTACTACCTCATTAGTCAACTTTTTATGGCTCTAGGACATAGTCCATCAGGATGCAGAGACTTATCAAACTGCACCTCCATCAGTTTGCTCAGTAAGTTACGAGTTTTCCTCGTAATTATAATTTCACTGGCCTATTTCAACTGTTCCACCGTTAGCTTTCCAAAAATGTACTTAATTTTCCAGTAATTTTCATGCAGCTAATGCACTTTCACCTTAAATTTTCAATCAACTCACTCCAGAAATTAAGTATCTAACAGTGCAAATACCCTTTTAACACCGGGAAACAGTTAATGATTGCCAATCTACGCAGCATCTCATTTCTTCAGGTTATGACTTCCTGTTTCAGATTTTAAGTATATTTTAAAATATTTTTCTTGCTTGTCTCTTAAGCCATCTCCCACCCTACCTTCTTTTTTGTCTCTCTGCATCATTGAATTCCACCACTCTAATTGACTCTTTCTCAGTTCTTCTTCAGTTTATTTCTCAATCTCATTGACAAACAAATGTTTTTACAATTGTTCACTGGAGTCCCAAATGTCCTGTTCTCCTCTCTGTATGCCTCTTAGCTCACACTTACAGCAACTTTGTTAGCAAAGATGTTTAATATCTGAACATGCATGAATAAGTCTAACAGGCATTTTTTTAGATGCATCCTCCAGCAAACTCTTGATCAGGTCACTGACAAATAAAATTCAATAGAAATTAAGTGTAAAATACTCATCTAGCAAGAAAACATGGGCGCAGAAGTATAATGTCACTACTTATATAAATAGCAAATTTGATTTAATTGATATTTAATATACTTCCAAAACTATCTGCCAGCTAATCTGTAGGTTAACATGATGAAAATGCTGTCTTCAAGTATAATTGCTTTTGATGTGTGAAAATACAATCCCAATGTATTTAATGCTATGTTCAACATGTATTTATTAAGATCTGGCATTGTGAAGTTTATTAGGATAGAAAGTTATCTTCAGTAGTTGAGGAGTAACATGGTTCTAACAGTTCCTTATATGTTCTTCATGATTCTCATTCATCTTTCCTAAAGGGTTCATATTTTCTTAGATGGGTTAATTAATTGCAATTACATTGTGAAGTCCTTTTAATATGTTGTTTCTTGATTTCACAAATTAAATATTAGCATAATTCCTTTCCTGACACGGATTATCCTCGTCAATGTAACAACAGAGCAAAATCTAATTTTCTAATCAAAGGTCAATGGCAAGCTCAATCAATGATTTATAACGTCATGAATTCAATTCCCAGTCTACGCTGAGTTATCTGAACTCAGTTAGGGTTGCAATCTGCTCAGGATTAAAAAAGTTTCTGGAAAATAGTAATATCCCACAAGGATCTTTGTTTGGGACTGAATTATTCACAATATTCCCTAATAGTTTAGATAAAATAGAAAACTATATATTCAAGTTTGCCAGTGATGTAAGCACTGGTAGCATTGTAGGTAATTTAGGCTTTACAAAGGACCAAAATCGGACCAAAATCAGATAGATTCAAGTATTTTTTAAATGGTGAAAAGCCAGGAACACTGGCAATCCAAAAAACATGTAGGGATCCATTCAGCCCTTCGAACCTGCTCTGCCATTCGATATGATCATGGTTGGACTACATGTAAATCTTTTTGAAATCATTCAATCTTTTGGCCTCAATTGCTTTCTGTGGCAGATAATTCCACAGGCTCACTACTCTCTGGGTGAAGAAATTTCTCCTCATTTCAGTCCTAAACGGCCTACCCCATATCCTTAGAATGTGGCCCCAGGTTCTGAACTCCCCTGTCATCAGAAATAACGTACACAAGATCATTATAATGTAGTACTTAGGTACAAAATTGAAAAGGATAATGGAAAAGCTAAACTATGAAAAAGAAGATAGTTTGCATCAGAAAATCCTTCACTTACATCGTGATTTTCAACCAATGAAGTACCTGCGAAGGGTAGTTACTTTTATAATGTAGGAAACAAATTGATTTGGATAAAATAAGCTAGATATTGGATAAAATAAGCCAGATATTACTAATATATTGCTGTTCCTTCAGTGTCACTGTATCAAAAATTCAGAAACTCTCTCCCTAAGAGCATTGTGGGTGTACCCACACCACAATCATTACAACAGTTCAAGAGGGCAGCTCACCACCACTTTCTCAAGAGCAGCTAAGGATAGGCAATAAATGTTGGCCCCACCAGAAAAGCCCTCATCCCAGAAAGAATAAAAAAGTCTTATTTTATTGTGTTGATTGAGGGATAAATAAATGCCAGAATACCATGAATAACCCTAAAATAAAACAACCACTGCAGACATTGGAGATCTGAAACAAAAACAGAACTTGCTGGAGAAACTTAGGTCTGGCAGCATCCATGGGGAAAAAGCAGGGTTAATATTTCAAGTCCAATAACTCTTCGTAAGAATGGAGTAACTTCTCTGCCTGCCTTTGAAATAGTGCAATGGAATTGTTTACATATATTTGAAAGGAAAGTTGGAAGCATGAGCTTACCACCTCATCAAAAATACAGCATCCGCAAGAGTACATCTCTCTTTTAGTACTGCACTGAAATGTTAGCCATGATTTGAGTTCAAGTCCTGGCATGAACCAAAAACCTTCTGACTCAGAAACAAGAGCACTATTGACTGAACCACAATCAGCAGTAGACAAGTTACACAAAACCCTGCCTTGACCACTTTACATAGCTCTGGCCCCACGCTTCAGAAATTATATACTGGCCCTGAAAGGAGAGCAGTGCAACTTCAGTACAGTGTAACTGAGGCTCAACGGTTGAATTACAAGGAAAGATTACATAAACAAGGCTCATATTCCTTGGAAAAGAGACGATAAAGGCAATTTGTTTGCGTTTT